TCAAACAGGTAGAGCAGCCTCAGGGGGCTGTCTTCAGCTTGTATCGCCTTTCATTCAAAAGAGACTGATTTAACCCTTTTATACTCAAAAGGCATGGCAAAATGTTTTGGAAAATAAAAGCACAGTCTAGACAAACCAACACATATTTCCAGCGGTGTGTAAACGAGAATACTTGTTCAGTACAATTTCTCATTGAAAGTCAAAACTGGACTTGTCTGAATCGACTTTGAATGCAATAGTGGGTCTGGACAAACCGCTATGAAGCATCAACACTTTCGCCAAATGAGCAAAAATACACTTCAGAAGAAGAATACAACAAAAGAACAAGAAAATAAAAAGCAATATGTAATTTCTCACAAGGGGTAATTTAAGATCAAATTTTCCTTTGTTGTAGTCTAAGAACAGGCTTTTAGACGGAGAAAACCTTTGTTGCATTAGAGAGTATAGCGTCCCATCAGCAGACATGAATGAAGACATGAATAAATGGAAATATGTTTAAATGTATGAATAAAGTTATTGATAAAAGAACTTTTAATTTAGGCTTTTACTTTTTTACACACAATTTGCCAACCGTAGGCCGAGTTAGCAAAGGCCTTCACATTGAGATATGATTATTTGCCTTTTTGCTCAATTATTTGATACATTTGAATAGAGTTGGCTGTGGTTTTACCTCAGAATCAGAATCATTTTTATTGCCACGTAAGTAACAGGAAGTCAGACTTGGAAATTGCTTTGGCTCAGTGCAACAGTCAGAAAGAGATAATAAAACAAAGAATAAAAAACCCTTCTAAGGAATAAATTTAAATTTAAAATAGAGTTACAGTTACTATTTACAATATACAAGTGCACATAGTGCACATCATGTACAAGTCGGTGATTGGAAGGATAACTCAAACAAGTTGAGTTATGATTTTCAATGATAACATTATACTGAACAATCAAGTATTGTTGTGGCCTTTCTCGTTTACAGACTGCTGTAAAGATTTTTTTTTTTGTCACTTCCAGCTAAACCAGTTAAAAGGTCAAACAGATGTTTGCTCCGCTACAAAAGGATCTTTGGTAAACTTTGTTATACTGCAAAGAAACACATGGAAAATGTAAAATCTTTAGAAATGTAAATAATTAAAAATATACAGCAGAAATAGATGATTATGAGATGGCATCACATAATTGTAGAACAAACGTTAGCGTCTAGACTATGACCGCTACATTTCACATGATTAAACTTCATTGTTGATATCTCTGTTTAATACTAAGTTCTGTCCTAAGAATTCCTGTAACAGTTACATCTGTTAAGTAGGCTTTAACAAAAGTTGTGGCCCTCGTCGTCCTTTGATAAGTGTACTATCAAGTATCAACATACATGAGAAACATTTATTGCCAAGGCTAATTTGCAATGTGTGTCCCTATAAAGACCGTTTTAACACATTTAGAAATGATCTTAAGAGATTCAACTTTTACCGTTTTATTTCAAACCGAATTCAAAATTTATATAAAGCTATATTTCACATATCCTATTTGAACATATATTTAGTTGTTTTCGTTGATCTGTTGCGTGCACGTCTCGTTGGGCAATGCCGTTTGTCACGATTCATCTCATTGCACAAGCGTTATTTCTGTTATGCTGCAGCACAGTTACTCAAAGCTTTATCTCTTGAACCTTCAGCTAAGTTCCTTTTGTCGCTGAGGTGGAACTTGTCAATCTGCATCTTAGTGGGTCATAAACTCTCAAAAGATAATTCACAGATGTGTAGATAAAAGAGTAATAATAATGTATTTGTAACATGTAACAAACCTGTTCACTTCATATTGTGCTTTTTAGTTGAATAAATGAATTGTTTGTATTTAATCAAGTTAATTACTCTCTGTAATAACACATTTTCCATTCTGTTCTGAGTGTGATTTGTTTGACTTACTGGAAAATAGTCACTGATCTTTAACAGAAGCTTCGTCTAAACATTATCACTGACTGTATTATCCTCCATTTGTAGTAATTGTTACAGTACATTTATGAACAACACATTAATTGCAGCTCGTATTTATTGTGGTCAACTCTGGTAAGGGTCGAGAAACTTTGTTCATTGCACATGGAATAATGAAAAGGTGTTATGGCTCAGAGTCAGACAATGCAAAAATAACTTTGAGCTGCGTCTCTTAACTCATAAGTCGTGTTAATCCAAAAAAGGTCTCTTTATTGCCCCCTGAAGAGCAACAGCGTCACCACAAAAAACATTTAGCGAAGATAGAAAAATCAATCGTTAAACTTTTACTAGAAGAGAACTAAAATGTACTAATCTTGATAAAGAGGAGGTAACTTTATCAGGTAACATGCAACTAACTTCTAATTACATTTTGTTTAACATGCTTTAAAATGAAGTATAACATGCCATAGTATCCCCTTACCATCCAAAATTGGTCTCGCCGTCCAGATGTATAGTTGAGGACACAGCGCCTTCTCCTTACTATTATTCTCTGGATTGACTGCAGGGATTCAAAGTCCATTAGTTTCATTCTATATTTGTGAATCTGGACCCATTTTCTTTCTTTAATTTAATTTAGCAGACAAACACATGTACAGAAAAAAGAGCGAAACAAAGAAAAGGCCTAGTTCAGATGTATCGCTTTCTTCACATTTGCAGATGTCAAGAGAACTGATGAAAGAGAGATGATAGGATAGGCTTAGACAGAGATTACTAACAGTATGTAGTTGGAGATACAAAAGGCAAAAGAGGAAACATGAAGTGCATATAGATGGGAGGGGGGGTAAATGCTGATAATAAAACAGACAATACTAACAATACAATACAGTCATAGATATACAGAAAGTAAACGGAGACTCAGCATAGAGCACATATTCACAGATGGGAGGGGAACATGAGGTATGAGATGGAGGGGGGTTTCTTTTTTTTTAAAGAACTTTCTTGGATCCATGCCAGGCTGTCTTCCTAACCTGGTTAACGTCCTCAATTATGACTCTTTAAAACGTGATCATCAAAACACTACATTTCCAGACTACTAAGGAAGAATAGTCTGTCTTTGTGTTTGTGGTCCAGGTCAACAAGCCCTGTATTTGTATGTGGCCACTCGAGTGATTTGTCATTGCCTCTCTCATTTTGTGGGTCCATTATCGTCTCCTGTGTTCAATTTACATTTGTTGTGAGTCGGATCACTGTCTTAGTACAGCAAGATAAGGATAATGTGTCATCTGCATATTTTAGTGCAGGATTGCCTTAGTGTGTACTCTTACAGTTGTTGATGTGAAAAGAACTGGAGACACTACACTGCCTTGTGGGACTCCTGCTGCCTCTTCTCTCGGATAGCATCTGATTGACCCTAACCTGCTGGGTTCTGTGGCATAAAAATATATATCTTATCAAAATGAGTTGGGAAGTTTATCTATAATGGGACAAAATAGATGGCTCTGTAAATGTATTTATTATAGTATAAATATATTAGTGAACCAAACCAATCTTCACAAGTTAATGTAAGTAATCCTTCGTGGAGCTGCCTTGAAGGTGGTGGTGAGTTATTGGTGTGAGCTGTGGTGCTTTAAGTTTGGAGAGTGGGACGACTGTCATTAGATTAAAGTAATAATTAATGTTCATTGTAGTTGTGGCCCTATCCAAATCTTTCATATTATGATCCACCAAAGCTTCATCTTTTGTAATGAAACTTGCTAACCTTGTAGTTGAAACAAATTGTGTTGAATTATTACCCCATAACTAACTAACACAAAAAGTTATTCCTGCAAAGAAAGAAAATGCATAAACAAGGGTATTGTCATTTTAACACGTTATTCCCACCCAAGCCAGAGCTGCTATTGACAGTGTGAGACTATTAAACCTGTATCTCCACCTTGTCTGTTGTGGTTTATGACAAAGTGTCCCTCGTGTTCTGACACCGTTCAGGGAGGAGCCGAAGGTCGTGCAGTAATCTCAGAAAGAGGTCTCACTCTCCTGGAAACACAGGTAGCTGCAGACGTGAGCAACTATGTCCTCTGATGTAAGTAGTGCTATGCCAGAGTAAAGAAGATGGGGTTATTGTATAAACATTTATATTAGCCAAAATTCTACACTCTAGCTATAGTGTAGTTTCTCTAGATCTCTATTACTATTCTTCCATTCCATAGTCTTTCATTTTCCCCATTTATCTGTACGATCTTGTGGGTTTTCTGTTTTTAATGTAATGATGGAATTGATCAGGATCAAGATAATCTTTTTATGTTTGATTTAAATATGATTTTTAGGTGATTGGTAATTATTTATGAACTATAAACATTCTATTGAAAGAAGATGTCTTACACAATACTTTGTACTCTGTATGGCAGATAAAGTTGTTTATTTACATTGACACATTGAACTTGTGCAGATTCTTGATTCATTTTTATTTCCGTTTTAACAAATTGCATAAACTCCGGGGAAAAAAAAAAAACAATCAATACATACTACTCAGTCCTTCATCACTTGAAGACATGGGCAGACATTTTACGGTCATGTTTGTCTGAACTCTGAATTGGATCCACACTTCAGGGATACTCGTGGTCAGTTGCATAACAGATCTGCCGAACGGTGGCTGAGAAGAAAGCACTGTCGCTTCTCAATAAGAATGTCCTGGGTTTGAATCCTTTCTGAGTGGAGTCTGCATGTTCCGTCCAGGTGCTCCGGTTTCCCCTACCACTAAAAACATGCTCAATATATCTGAATGTAACGAGTTTGATGCACCAGTGTGTTCGGCATCTCGGTTTCGTCATTACCGTGTGGAGAGAATGAAACGACATATGAACTCTGAACATTGTAAAGTGCTTTGGGTGACGTTGGTCTGTAAAAATGCGCTATTTAAATAAAGGTTACCTCCACTTACGTACTAAAAGAGAACTATTGAAACTAAACCTGCAAAGCTACATCCATTTTTCAGTTGCTGTTGAAGTCTCTGGGATCAGAGGGTCTAGTTCTTGAAAAACAGCAGCATGTAGATCTTAGTTCCATGTTGTGTGTGTGCAGAGTGCCTTGGAGGTTTACCGGGAGATGGTGCTTCTGTATTTGGAGGAAGCACGTCGTCAAATCAACTCCGGCTGCAGTGAACTGGAACCGTGGCAGATCATCTCAGCAACTTTCATCACAACGATTGGAGCAGTGTGGGTCAAAGGAGTCCTCTTCCAACAAGAAAGTAACTATAAACTTGCTATTATGATATTCAAGGTGTCATTTTGAAACCGAAAATGAAGCGTTTTTGTCCTCTAATGTTTGATGGGAAGCTCAAGAGTTTGTACACCTTAAAAAGTAAGAAATCCAGATCCACTAAATGATAATACTTTAGAAAATATGTTATAAATGAAAGGGGTATGCTAATAATACTTTAAACAGTTAGTATGCTCACCTATACATCTGACTTATTCAACACTAAAGCACAAGTTGTACGATTGTTGCCATAGTTAAGAACATTGTGGGCAAAGCAACGTTTTTTAAAGCCCTAAAGAAAACTGGATAATTAGCCTGGTTTTGTTTAATTAAATTAGATTGAGCAAGAGTGTAACCATGTATCTATGTGAACCGATACTGAGATCATTTGGACACTCTTTCATTTTGATCATTGTGTGGAAGTTCATAGCCACACGTTGGTTGATTTCGTGACGTGAGACGGCATTTAATTACTCTGAAGATCTTAGACTTCATAGATGGGCAGTGGCAGACGAGGGCTCCATCTGATCAATCTGAGACAGCCCCTCATGTCGACTGGGACCAGAGTAGTCACACAGGTTTGGGGGCAAAACCGGTGTGACTTAGTTTAGTCCATCTGTTGAATTAGTTAAAATCATTAGTCACACTTGTACCATTGTGAAACTCAGGGGTGGATCTCTGGGGAATTGTCTAATGAATCATGATCTCTCCAGATGTTAAAGCCCTTTAAGTCCCGATGAATGATTGCTGCTCAACATTTCTGCTCACTGTCAAAAATATTATTGGAAAATATTATTAACTGTATGAATTGACAATCCTACATTAAACCAGATGCAATGTTGGAACTCTCTGGTGTCTCATGAATGTTATGATTTTTCGTCTACCTCTGTCTGTAGTTATAATTAGTGTTTTAATATGAAAGTAAATGTTCATCCACTTTCCTTTCTCCACCCTTCATACTTCACTTACTTTTGCAGAGTTACACATAATATTTCCAGTTCCTTTAATGCTTTTAAGTCCTGGTCATGTGGATCTGTTCGTGTCGGTCTTTATGATTATAGACTGGAGTCAGCTGCTTAAAACTTGTGGTTATATTTTATGCCAGTTTGTCACCACAGACCTCTGACTTCTTCTACTTCTTCTTCTTTGTGGTTCGTAGGTCTAACGTCACGAATCAAGAAGAAATTTTTTCGCCTCATCAGAAAAATACCGTTTGTTGGCAACGCTGTAAGTATGATTGTTGGATTGTTCCTGTTTTTTGTGTGTTCAGAGGTTCTCGCTCACAGACGAGACCTTTGGCACACTTTACTACAGTGATGACTCTGGGTTATTTCAGGTTATTTGGACATAATTTGTTTTCTTAGTTGAATATTTAGTGCTTGCTTGATGATGAGTATGAAAACGTCAAAATATGGGGTTCCTCTATTTTTGTTGAATACATTATAAAATATTATACATAGAAGGAGCCACACTATGTATTCATATTTCAAACAAAATACGTTTTTTCAAAGTTGTAAGAACTTGACCTTATTTAGATTTTTGAGGTTTTCACATTGTATGGATTCCGAAATGACTTAATACCACTGATGCTTGTGCCAGAAAAGTATCCCAGTAAAGCTCTTTTTTCATTTGTCCATTTCATTAAGAAAATTATGTTATGAAAATAAACGGCAGAATTAGGTGATATTAAAAAACGTATTTCTTTACATAGCAAAAAAGCAATAATGTCTCAAATGTATTGTTTTTCCATCAGTTATTGAACGAACAGCTGTACAGTAATTATTGTGACAGACCTAGAGTTATCGGATAATTTTGATTGGAGAAAGAGAACAGTTGCTGAGAATGGCACCAGACAAGAGCTGTTTTTTTATTTGTAAAGCTGTGATAGAGGCTGAAATAATGTCCGTGTAAGCAAGAGTTTTAAGAGGAACTATTGAAATGGTTAGTTTCATTATAGTTCAATTGTAAAGCTATGAATGAGAAATTATCTCTCCGATCCGTCCAAAATTGGGCTGGAAGTTATACTCACTAAAATAAGTTTTTTTTTAGTTTTTGACACAGTTCTAGTTTTCTAATGAACCAGTTGTTTGGCTTTGTTTGTGTCTTGATGCACTCGGTGTACTCAGAGCACGTCACATCTGTGCTGGGTGGGGACTGCCCTGGTTTACACTCTTCACTTAGTTCCTGTTTCAGCCTGTTATTGTCCAGGTGGCACTTACAGATGAAACCGCATGTACAGCTGTGTTTAGGAGTCATTCTGATTGTTGAATTCAAACAGCCTGATTAACACAGCTCTGAAAACATATGTAACTGCTAACACACAATTGATTTGAGAATGTTATGACGTCTTGATGAGATTTACCAATGGAACTACCAAGTTTGGCCTTCTTTCAAGTGAGAAATAACATGTTTTTTACCTATTTCCATGTAGACCTATTACGTGAGATGTCTTTTTTGAATTAAAAGTTTAAAGTTACACAATTCCCTCATCAAAAACAGACCTGAAGTTGTTATTGATTCCATCAGAAACGTCTGACACAAACCTGTCTCTCCGCCTCTTTTGTCTAATACTCCTGTCTCCACCCTATTACGTTAGGACGAATCCTTAAACTATTACACAATGTTTAGAGCTGTTTTCTGTCTTTTAAAGCAAATGTAGTTTTGGAAATGTATACATTTAAAAACATTTATTACAACAGAGTGGCTGCATTTGCTGCTCTGAATTCAACACCTCCTTGTAATGTTGCCTCTTGTTTTTATTCTGATTATGCATCGCGTGTTGTGTGTTTTAGACTAACAATGTATTCTTTCTCACAGATCCAGAGTCAGCTGAACAAGGCGCTGGACGACATGTCAGTGAGTCTGTGCACACTTAAGGAGGGGATGAGCTACACCAAGCAGCTGCCCTCCAAAGGCCTGTCCCAAAACCAGGTCCTGGACAAAATCAAAGAATACCAGACGCTGAGTAAGTCCTGGTCCAGACCACAGAGCCTAACACGCACCATTAACTGCACAGCGGCCCCCCTCCAAATACCCACACATCTGCTTCATCCCACTTACTGTAAACTCAGGCTGTTACAGTTACAGCTACTGAAGGACACAAGATGAAGAGACTGGGGGAAAACTGTTAGAGATATCATTGTACAGGGCACAAAGAGTGGTAAAAGTTACTAAACACATGATGAAAATATGAGTACATTGTAAATCATTAAGAGTTGTGTGAAAGAATAGTTTTTGGTATATTGAGTTGATTGATTGAAAAGAAAAAATTTCAACTCAAAGTAGCATCCCCTTTTTAATCCTAGTTTGTAAATAGGTTGATAACGGTCCAGAATCACTGTTACAAGTTGATCCTAGACTCACAACTGTAAACTTGACCCTATTCTTAACCTTAGTCCTAACCATAACAATAGTGAATCCTAGCCCTAGCCCTAACCTTAACCCTAAACTCTAACCCTAAACCAACTCTAACCCAAACCCATGAAACTGGACTGGACTTTATTTATTTTGCTGCTGCTATGTTGCCGTGTGTGTGAGTTTGTGTGTGTTTGTACATTCATTTTTGCCCATTGTGCATTCATATTTGTGACAGTGATGAGTGTACAGACTCCAGGAAGAATAGCTACTATATATTTCGGTCGCAAATGGGGATCTAAAATAACTAATGTGAACAATTAAGCAAATTAAAGATATCCAAGGACGTTCACGTTACCTTACCTCACCTGTAAGACGATTTCAAAAGACGAATGTAAGAATGTACAAATGAGTAGTTTATTTAGTGTGCAACTGTGCATCCCCGACAGGCCGTGCTCAGTGTGACAGGGGCCTGCGGTAACTCTGTCTCCCCTGGATCGTCTTAAGTTTGGTGAATAATTGATGATCTTTGACTTTGCAGATGAGGTGCAGTGGGAGAAAGGCTGCGTTTCTGGGACCGTTTACTGGGGAGACGAAACTTTGACCAAACTCCTCGTCAAGGTACATACAACTATTATACATTATATTATAAACGATGTCAATGCATAGTGCCCCAAGTACACCTGAAACTCTGAAATGGCCCCCAGAAGTCACAAGTGTTAGTGGATTATACTGTTTTGTCTCCGTACTCAACCAGTAAAAAAAAACTAGTATTCGGAACAATTGTAAAGATTTGCTGGCTATATTTAAAAGGAAATAGTCTTACAACTTCTGCACGGTTTTAAAACTGCTCCAATCCACATCTTTTGGCCATGCACTACTCAATGAGAAACATTGTAGATCACATGTGTCAAAGTCAAGGCCCGCGGGCCAAATCCGGCCCGCAAATGAATTTTATTCGTCAATGGCAGGCCCGTTGCCTGCCATTGACGCACTATTACGTCAATTGCGTTTTCCACTATTTTCATGTTCCCAGATGTCTATTATATCTAATATGTTTGGGGATAAGCTTGAGAGCATATTGAATCGAGCCAGCAGGTGGCAGCAGCGCTCTCTGAATGGTTTGAAAACAGCTAGATGCACTTGTTGTGCTTCTTTTTTCTCAGCTTTTTGGTGATTTCAGTAAAACTTCCCTCTACTCAACTAGGGATTACAAGCTAGAAACCAAATTATTTTTGCTGATGAAAGTAGACAGTCTATTCTTTCAGAATCTGGTTTCAGATAGTCATAGTACACAATATTCTGTGGGTCTTGAAAAATCTATAAAAATCATCAGAAACTGCTGGCAATATGGGAGTACCTGTTCTGAAATAGGCTGGCAGGCAATGAGTTAATAAACATTGAACCAGTCCGGCCCTCGGCTCTCAGCAAATTAGTTATTTTGGCCCTCTGATGTATTTGACTTTGACATGCCTGTTGTAGATAGTCAATGATGAATCTTATCCATGTTTTGCATTTATTTTGTATAGTTCATTTGTGAATCTGTATTTTTCAGGTATATGGGGATTTTGCCTGGAGTAACCCGCTGCACCCGGACATTTTCCCGGGGGTCAGAAAGATGGAGGCTGAAGTGGTGAGAATGTCGTGTTCGCTCTTTCACGGTGGACCACACTCCTGCGGCACGGTCAGAAATGAATCTCACAAACGCTTTTATAAATGAAGATTCTTCTCTAATCGTTGTGGTGGTTTTTACAGGTGACTTCAGGGGGAACCGAGAGTATTCTGATGGCGTGTAAAGCGTACAGAGAGATGGCGTACGAACGAGGCGTCAAATACCCTGAAATGTAAGTCTCACATTTACATTCATTATTTTGATAATTTACAATATGGTGCTGCTGGGTCCTTCTTTTTATGTAACTGAAAGACTGAACTGTTTACTCATAATTCTGCTCTTCTTCCAGCTAGGGTCTCCTGACCTTGAATATAGGCAGGGTTAGGGTTAAATGCATTTTTAGCCCAGTTTTAAACAAGCATATCAACTATTCTTTTGCACATTAAAGATACGTTATATACAAAACAATACTTTACAGTAGCTCAGTTGGTAGAGCATTGGTCTTAAGGCCAGAAGGTCGTGGGTTCATTTCCCACCTCTGCACCTTCTCCGACTCCCACTGATGACTGCTGTTGTTGTGTCCTTGGGCAAGACACTTAACCCCACTTTGCCCAAAAGCCCCCACTGAAAGATCAAGGCTATGCTCACACTCAGAGAGCAGCCGTCCTCCTGTGGACTCACCACCTGCAGAGGGTCAGTGAGGGGCTGGTGCTATGAGACTTGGGTGGTATCTCTGACTGCCACCCCCCTGACCCAGAAATGTATTAAAGGGTAGAAAATGGATGGATGGATGGATACTTTATAGTCTTAAAGTTGGTTTTGTGTTAAAAGGTGGGGTTGTGGGTTTTTTTTCATATAATGGTTAAGTTCTTGCCTGTTCTTACCACACCATCGTAGAATTTTATTTCATAAACATAATTGACCTTTTATTAATTTATTCCAACAGCATAAAATAGCGCGTATGTATGTGCGTGTATGTATATTACAGGTTTTATTTACATTTATTTTATATTTCCTATTGGTAAGAGAAGATTCTCATGAGTTGAAAATGTCATGCTTTTTGGTGATAAAAGAGCGCTTACTTCACTTCACAAAGACTGCTTATAGAGACACTGATATCGGCCAAAAGTTATGTATCAAATAGTTTAAACATTTAGATCCACTTTTCTTAGTTTCTAAATCTGGCAACCCTGTTTCAAATCAGAACACAAACACATTTTCTCCAGATAAAAACATAATTGTATGTAATTCTAATCTAATTCTTATCTAGCTCTCTGTGGTCGGTACCATTGTCCTCGGCGACACGGTGGTTAGAGCTCATGGGTTCAACTCTTAGACAGCTCAAGGCTTTTCTGTTTTGGTGGTGTTTGCATGTTTTAGTAGATTTCCTCCTGGTGCTCTAGTTTCCCTACCATTATAAACGTGTACATTAGGAAATTATTGGTTGAAAGGTCTCTGTGGTGTTTGTCCTGAGTGTTCATGGAAAACACATGGAAATTATAAAGCACCTTGTTTGACCCTGGTCTGTGAAATGTGCTATATAAGAAAATATTACTTACTTACTTCTTACAACCTTGATATCCAAATGTGACTCCTATCCTACAGTATGACATTTGAAGTGTTAATTCGATCAGTTGAAAAATTACATTGGCATCTGACTTCCTGATTGTTTAGGAAGATAAATTGTACTTTCCACAAAGCAATATGCTGCTAGATAAACCACAACATGTCTGAGCCAGCAGATCAATCATCTGTGACCTCCAATAACCAGCGACATTTAAATAAATAAATCTTTTTTTCCTCGTCAGACTTGCTCCTGTGAGCGTCCACGCCGCCTTCGACAAAGCAGCTCACTATTTTGGAATGAAGCTTGTGCACATCCCCCTGAACAAGAAAACGATGCAAGTTGATGTTAAAGTAAGTTTAAAAACGGAGACAGGACAAGAGCTATAAATTAACTAATATATTTTATTGTAGAATACATGTTCTTTCATTTCTATTGTCATGGATTAACCCTTTTGGCGCCAAAGTAGCAGAATTTATCTCAAGGATCTGGCTTCACACAAACCTTTTTCCTACATATTTTTTTATTTTCTTGCTGTTATTTTTGTTATTGATTTTATTCGTCCTCTATCACTCAGTTTCTAGCCTCTTTTCTGTTTCATAATACTCTCTATCTTTGTAACGGTTTAAATCATTAAGAACACTAAGTTTTGAGTGTGATTTTAAAACCACAAAACCAATTCCATTGTCTGACTTCCATTATCTTGACCACTACACTGTTGTTTACACATATCCCTGTCTTTTTAGGCCATGAGACGAGCCATCGGCAAAAACACAGCGATGCTTGTGTGCTCCGCTCCACAGTTCCCGCACGGCATCATGGACCCCGTCGAGGAAGTGGGCAAGGTCTGTATCAAAACAAGTAAAACAATGTGCATCTGTAAATAACTTGGTGCTGAGCTCTCGGTTCCTGCCTCTGCGCAGCTGGCCCAGAGGTATAATCTGCCGCTGCATGTGGACGCGTGTCTGGGAGGATTTCTCATTGTGTTTATGGAAAAAGCCGGATTCACGTTGGCGCCTTTTGACTTCAGGGTGAAAGGTGTGACCAGTATCTCCGCCGACACACACAAGGTACAAATGGACTCTTCTGCATTGTCTCATTTTGGGTTATAGTTGTCGAGAGTTTTAAGCCGAGAAAAAGTTTAAGTTCTAGCGAGAAAGTAGAAAATTATTACCCTTCTAAGGTAGTCTGGGAATGCCCGTTGTTTGGCACTATTTTGATCTACAGAAACTCTGATCAAAACATTCTCATAGATTTCAGGACCAAACACAGAACACGCAGGGACGCAAGATGATGCTTATGCACTATTCTAGAGACTGAAGCTTGTAGTTCATTCAATCCTTTGTGTAAACACCTTAAACTTTCATTGTTCTAACACATTCGTCCTGCGTTGTCATTTGTGTAAAAATATTGCAGCTTATTATCCAAAAAACACATTTCAAAACGATCACAGAACACAGTGTTGGGTTTTCTCATCAGTATGAAGAGCAGCTTGACCTCTGTGTGTTTGTGTGTATCCTCTAACAGTTGTATCTTGTTTGCACAGTACGGCTACGCCCCCAAAGGCTCCTCTGTGATCCTCTACAGCGATAAGAAGTACCGGCAGCACCAGTACTTCGTGGCTCCGGACTGGCAGGGAGGAATCTACGCCTCGCCCTCCATCGCGGGGTCCAGGCCTGGGGGAATCATCGCCGCCTGCTGGGCCACGATGATGCACATGGGAGAGGCCGGATACGTAGACGCCACCAAAAAAATTATCACCACAGCAAGAAAAATAACAGAACAGTACGTTTGTAGTCAGACCGTAGTCATTGAGCTTTTCCTTTTACTTTATCCAGAATTTGAGTTGAATCCAAAACCTAAAAAGTATTGTAGTTGTAAAGCCAGGATCATATGTAATATTATAGGGCTGTCATCTTTAAACTGACTCGTTGGCTTCTGGACTTTAGACTTCAACTTAATCTTATCAGAAAGATGAAATGATTTTTTTCCCCGTTGACAGAATCCGAAAGATAAAGCCGGTGTTTGTGTTTGGAAACCCGGAGGTATCGGTGGTGGCCATAGGTTCAGATGTGTTCGATATTTTCCGATTGTCGAACGCTCTGACATCAAAGGGCTGGAACCTGAACACGCTACAGTATCCATCCAGGTATGTGTCTCTGCAGCAAGACAAGGAAAGTATGTCCAGCAAAAGAAAAGTCAGAAATACAATGTTTATGTAGCTGTTTTTGGGCGCAGTCTAACAAGAAACTGCAAACAATGAATCTGGAATAAGACGCAAATGTGGATTAAGTGTTTGAAGAAAGTTGCTAAAAAGAAATATCCCAGACATTTCTTCTTCTTCTAGTAATTATTAACTATTTATCTGTTTTTTCATTAAAATCAATCTCAAGGAATTATTGTTTTTCAAAATAACATCAATGAAAATGATTTGAAGCTTGATCATACTGTAAAAGTATTAATAGACTTTGTACTGTTATTGAGATGACAATAGAATACTGTGGTTCTGATATTAAAACGCACTAACTGGACTGCATTCCATACTGTGATGCTGAGTATCGAAGTATTGAATCATTATCATTCTAGATTTTAATTCTTATAATTCATATATTTCTCCTTTCTGTTCACAGCATCCACATTTGTTGCACAGTTCTGCACACTCAGCCTGGAGTCGCCGATCGCTTTGTTAAAGACGTGAAGGATGCGGTCGACGTCATCATGCAGAACCCCAACGAGAAAACCACAGGAATGGTGAGGCTGCAGTTCATACTTTTGTAATCTATTAGTCATATATTTTTAGTGAAAATGTCTGGTATAAATAGTAAGTATTTCATTCAAACTTATATTTTTCATACAGCATAACAAAACAATATGTAGAATTTCAATTTGAAAAATACTGTTTGAATTTATTACTTATTATATTATATCACACATAACATAACTGTTTGCAGTTTTGTGCCGTTATCAAGAGAATCATGTAATGGGCCCAAACCAGGTGAAATATAAAAGGGACTTTTATATAAAATCAACAAAGTTCATACAAACATTAAAAAAGAATAATACTTTAGAGAGAGAGAGAGGACCCAGAGAAGGCATCTGGCAGAGGCTACGTGATGCTGATAAGTTGAATGCCAAGACAGAGAGAGCTAGTAGCCAGATAGCCACAAACTACATAACCTCAGGTCAAACTTGATTGGCCAGAGGGGTGAGCCCGAACACAGGTGTCCTTCAGGGAGGGGGCCCCTCCCTGACAATGGTGGAGCATAGACTGATGCAAACATTGATGATCTTTATGGTTCATATAACTCGTGTGAGTCAAAAATGAAGCTCCTGAAACACCTGACACATTTGATATATATTTTTTGAACATTGCCTTTCAAACACCAACTGTGACATGATTAATGTCACACAAAGACGGCCTAAAATTGAATCATTTGAATTGACAAACACTGTTCCTCTCGGTTGCAGGGAGCCATCTACGGCATGGCCCAGTCGATCCCAGACCGCTCCATGGTCACGGAGATCTCTCGTGGGTTTCTGGACTGTCTCTACAGCACTGACAACCCCAAAGCCCAAAACACTGCCCACATGAACGGCAACGGGAAAGCTCACTGACCACAGCAGAACCAGAGCAGCCTTCACCCACCGCAGGGAACAGGGAAACCACACACGCCTTTGCTCCGAAGCCTTAAAACATCAGAGAACATCTAAAAGCACAGTCCATCCACTATTACTCTGGAAAAAGTTACAATCTGCAGGTAAAATCACTTAAATACAGGACTTTTTCTTCTCATGTGTGCTGCTAGTTCGTACAACCTGACATATTTCAGTGTACTTTTGACTGGTTTCAATGTATTTCTAGTAGAATGGATTAAGTTTTCGGTCTCAAATATCGATTGTGGCCATAGGATCAGATGTGTTTGATATTTTCCGATCGTCAAATGCTCTGACGTCTGCACATTCACAATAGATTTAGTTTTCAGTCTCAGAGATCCGTTGAATAGCTAAACTCAAATGGAAGACTTTTACTCAAGTGCTAGTATTTCTGTATTACTACATTAACTCTGATAGAAGTAAAAGTAGGGTCAAATAAATGTATAAAACTCTCCATATACATTGCTACTACCACCTTTGTTCAGACTGTCCTGTAGTAAATAAACATAAATACCTTCAAACCAGTTAAAAGTACTTTGATACTTGAGTTTAAGTGATTTTAATGCCATTTTTTCCATTGTAATGTTTTTGTTGCATCTCCAGTAAAAAGTGCTTCTATCTTTGAATAGACGTCAATCATATATTCAAATTCATGTCTGTTGTGTAAATGTATTGGTTTAAAAACTAATTTTCCATGTCATCGTATTTCTCCGTCTGCTCAATCATTTTATACGTCATAACATTTCAAAATACCACTGAACGCTGATGGAAACCGCTCTGCCGCCCTCTAGCTACGGTTGTGGGTACTGCAACCATGAATGCTTTCTCTCTGGTTTAATCCATGTAGTCATGATCTAAACATTATTTTGTGTCTAATGAAGGACTGCAGAAGTAGAAATTAATCGTTTTTATCTGTAAATGCCTTGAAGTTTTGTAGTTTTACCAAGCACGTGCCTTTTTGTCCTGGTTTGGCACTGTACAGTTGCTCTGAAGACAGTTATTTTCTTTTTATACATGTGTGTCTATACCACTAACATTCACTAAAATAGCAAGAGAAATAGCAATTTTTGGCCAGAACTTTTTTACAAAATCGTTTCAGCAACACTTTCTGTCTAAAATGGTCTGTAGCAAAAATATATATAACTGTTTTCTTTAAAATACTAAACAGAATGGTGTCTTTGCACTGGTAGAACAAGCATGCAAAGTCATTCATTGTTTTTTCAATTATACTGTCTTTGTTATCAAACTTAAATTTACTTTTGAGAGGGTCATGACATCTGGGCCCACAGTACAGCGCCATTAATAACAACACCTATATTTTAGTTATTTAAAAAACGCTCTGCAAACCAAATCTTTACCACGTCTGACCCAGAAGTAACAAAGTATGGCCGGCCCCATCTCATTTGGTCTATGTGTAATACGCCTTTACCATAGACTGTACTTAGATGAACCATGCTAACAATTTAGCTCAATGAAGCTCAATAGGGAAGTGCTCATGGACAATGTTTTGCTCCAACTCACTCTGGCTACTATTGACTTACATTGAAAACTAAACCCTTCTAGCTCAGCAGCAGTTTGTCTCACATTCACCATTTTTTAGCTTAAAAAAATCCATGGTTTTGCGTTCTGTCATCTGATTGGTCAATCCTTATGGCTCATATCTGGATTTACAATCAGATGCCTTGATTAACAGGGGAAACTCCAGCATGCCTTAGCAACCATCTTGGCAACACGTCTGCTCCTTTACGGGCTCCCAAATGCCCATGTAAGGAAATTAGCTCCTGCTAGCTAATTGTTTTGCCTGGAAGATTTTATATTGAATGTTCTGTCTGCATTGAGACGAGCGAGGGACTTCACTAGGGTCAGTTACAGGTGTAAGAATTCTCATTTTATTTGTATTGCACAGTTTGTACAAAAAGCAACTCTATGAGTGCTCAAAGAGGTCAAATTCCTCCCAAAATGAAAATGTATCAGACATGTTTCACAAATACAACAGATGCGTGACCTTCGGCAGTAATGTGTCATGGTCAAAACACGTTTATTTTTTATCCTCAGCATATAAAAATGTAAACATGTGTGTACAATTTAATATAGACGTTTGTTCAGTTATATAGTTTAAAACATATAAAAACTTTACAAAATCACCTTTGCAAAACTTTTATATTTGTAAAACATAAAATGCATTTACTAACGCTAGAATTTGTGAATCATGTTTGATATATTCACAATGTTTTGGCCAAAAAATGATCCCGTAGCCTCCACTCCCCACAATCATGAGCTTTGTGTAATGACAGAAAGGATGAGATTGTGGACACAGTGGCATCAACAGGTTATGAACCAAACCGAGAAACATTCCAAGATGAGCAATTAGTGGACCCTTCAGACAAATGCACCTTTAGGATCGGAAGAGGCTTGCGAGACTAGACGAATCCAAAGCTTTAGAAACAGATGCATTTAGCTTCAATGTAGATGTTTAATAAACTGTTGTCTTAAGTAGATAAAACACATTCTTCATCTTTGTCTTAACCTACCTCAGTCTCTTCATCACTAACTCGGAGCGGTTTCACTTTGTTCTCGTATCAATGCAATTCGAATCATGACTGTAATTTCAACTTTTTCTCAACTGTTCTTTGTGTTTGTACGACCCCTGATTTAATTTATGTTTGTGCAATATGTAACTCTTTCAACAAGTGAGAAAGATGTTTGTACTCTAACCATTTAAGTGACCACTGGGAGTTTCATGTTTGAGAGATTAGTTGAATGTATTTTTCTTTACTTCTATCTTCAGGCTACTATCATAGTCGGTGCCTGATTAGACATTTTTTGTAAAGATAATTTCATACTAACAGTGCCTGTGCTTAGGGCTGCGACACGAAGCTTGTATCTTGAGTGCACGCTTGAAATATTTGTGTCAAGTCAATGACAAAATCACTTTTTTTAAATAAAACGTTTATGGCTAATCTTATTTTAGAGTCTGATTGATCTTTTCTACATCATACTTCTGATTAGCTAGAAATGACATTACAAAGCAAGATCTTGTGGAAATATTTCTTCCAACATTTCTATTTTAGAGCTGTAAAAACTAAGCTTGTATTAAGTAATATTTATTTATATACCGCCTTTCACAGACCAGAGTCACAAAGAGGTTTACAAATGTGGGCATTTGTCTCTCACTCCACACAGAGATGGGAGCGGGGCCAGTACAGAAGGCACATGCCAGACCTATTGTACAGGGGAAACCGGAGCACCTGGAGTAAACCTACGATACGGGGAGAACATTCAAACTTCACTCAGAAAGGCCATATTCCAACCGGGATTCGAACCCAGGACCTTCATGCTGAGAATCAAGAGCGCTATCCAGTAAACCCAGCGTGCTGCCTGTGCTTGTGTAGAATTTAAATCACTCTTAGTTCATGTTTTCATAAAGTACATTTCAGTGAAACGAGTTTATCCATGAATCACAACTAATGCTTTTTATGGAAGAATTATCAACTTAAGTACTAATGGATTAATTATTTTTGAAATATACCCGGATACAAACATGCCTAGAAGAGGTTTTGTGACTCCAAAGTAATGTAGTAGTAGTAATGTTTATTTATCTAGCGCATTTTACAGACCAAAGTCACCCAAAGCGCTTTACAATGTTCAGCTATGAATTATTCAGAATGGCATGTATTTGTTTAGTTTGGTTTTATTCCTTTTTAAAAGTCTTAGACGGGATTTAAACCAAAGTCTGTTTACTTCTATAACTCAACTTAAAATGGGAATCTATTTTAAGTTATCTCTGTAAAGTGAGATGTATCAAGTTTGTTTTGTGGATAATTGGTTCACAGTTCGAATAATCCAAATAAAATCTTTAAAAATTAGAGGATTTTGAAAATGAACAAAGCATAATCATCAAAAACATAATGTCACTTTGCACGTAATGAGTCTGTACATACTGGTTTCACATTTTTAGTTGAATAACAGAAATAAATGAACCTTCGAACAATATTATATTTTTCCGAGTTTCACATTATAAATTCATTTTGGCCATTTCTGCTCAGTGTGGTCAGTCTCAATGGGGAAGACAATACACAACCATATTTTCCACTTTGTTTGAACCAGTTTCACCAACATGAAAGAGCAGTGTCACTGTCTGCGTTATGGTCGACAGTAGAAGAGCGCCCCCTACTGCTTGGATTTGTAAGAACATTTGAATGAAACACAAAAGACTGAACAGTTTAACATTTAATTTTGAAATGCTATTAAATCAGTAACAATACAATATCTGGGACTTCATAGGCACGTTTGGCGAATACTGTAAAAATACACACTTTTGTAACAATTTCACATATTGTAGGCTACACCCAAAAGACTGCAACACTTAAGGAATTTCTCTTCTTTGGGGTTTTTTTTACTTAAGTTTCTTCCAGAGGTTTTCACGGTTCACATCAGAGAAGCCTGGTCGATGAAAGTTGCTAAAGTGATGTCTCTTTGGGACAGGCCTCCGCACTCATGGGTGCTAAGTGTGATCTGAACCTGGAAAAAGTAAAACAGTGGAAAAAAAACGTATTTATGTACTGATTACTTCATGTTGAAATGAGCGTAAGAAAAGTTTAGTTTATCCATTGCCAATTTTTTCACAATATGGTCAAAAGCAGTGATAAGAATTTTTATTTTTATGTTTAAAAGCCCTAAAAGTCTTTGCAAATACATTCTATGGCTCGTCATAAAGGGATAGGTTCGCTGTAAAAACATAATATGGATTTTTTACCTTGTTATAGACGTTGAACCACTCAGGATGATGGTCGATCTTTTCTGCCTGTAGAGCCACTCGCGACATGAATCCAAAAGCCTGCAAGCAAAAAAAGCAGATTCTTTTTATAGATCAATAATTTATTTATACAGCACAATTCATGTACGAGGCAATTCAAAGTGCTTCACAAGAGCAATTTAAAAACACATCCAAATGCATAAAAAGTCAAAGTAAAAATAAAATAAACAAATTCATATTAAAACAGAGCAGCATAAAAGTATTTGGTTTCAAACTATAAAATTGTGGGTTTAAAAAGGATGATAAAAGCGATTAACAGTATAAAATAGAATCAGGTGTAAGCACAGACAAACGTTTGCACAGATACGTTTTCAGGCGTGTCTAAAAACTTCAAGAAGGTTAATAATTCAGGTTAATCTACAAACCTGAATTATGATCCAATGACATAAGTGTAGCTCGACCACCACTATATCACGATCAACTTGTCTCTGTTCTTGTTTCCTTGTAAGTAATAGCAAGTAATATTTATTTATATACCGCCTTTTCACTGCACATCGGAGTCTCAAAGCGGTTTACAATTGTTAATTTTTTTTTGGGAGTGGGGGTGCCAGTACAGGAGGCACATGTCAGACCTATTGTACATATTTTTAGTGGTAGGGAAAACCGGAGCACCCGGAGGAAACCTACGCAGACACGGGGAGAACATGCAAACTCCACTCAGAAAGGCCCTGATCCAACCGGGATTTGAACCCAGGACCTTCTTGCTGAGAGGCGAGAGTGCTATCCACTCAGCCACCGTGCCGCTTGTGGTTTGTACATTGTATCGCCCGTCAGCAGAGCACACGTTACCTGGTTGAAGTCTTTGAAGATGAACTCTTTGTAGATGGCGTCGCGTCCCACGGTCTCCACCCACTGAGCGCTCCGGAGCAGCGGCAGGAGGTGCGCCCTCTCCTCCTCACTCAGAGTCGGGATCTTTGACTGAAACCACAACATTATTATTATCATTATTATTATTAGAATAGACTTTAAATCAACTTTGCTTGTACAAGTCTCTCCATGGCCTTGCACCAAAGTCTGTGACATGTTAGTACCATATGAACCGGTCCAGACTCCGAGGAGCACAGGGACTGGACTCCTGCTGGTGCCCAGAGTCAGAACTAAACATGGGGAGGTCGCGTTTCAGACTCATGCAGCTAAAATCTGGACCGTCTCCCTGAAAATGTGAGACGGGCATAATCTCTGACAATGTTTAAATCCAGATTACAGACGGTTCTGTTCGCCTGTGCATACAATTGAAGGATAAACTGAATCTCTACTCTTTTGAACGCATTGTTTTAATGTATTATCTTTATGATTTTAGTGTTTTAATGGCTTTAATTACCTTGGTCTATTACATGTTTTCAGATCACAATAAAATCATGTAAAATAACCACAGTCTTTACCATTTTAATCTACCTATTCAATCTCGTTTTCATTCATAGTTTCTCTCATATCTCTCACGAAAGAAGTTAGTTACATACAGTACACTGCCAAAGTTATGACGAGGATTGAGGCCACAGTGGAAACAAGATTCAGAAGGTTTAGTAACATTTCCACCACAATCACGTTTCAGATTCAGATTCAGATTGTTGGTGATGTTTAGTTAAATTGTCACTATCTATATTGTGTTTTTTTCAATCACAATAATATTTTTTTTAAACTCATGCGATACCAGCAGCCTGAAACAAGCAGCAGAGGGGCAGATCACAAACCTGTGCTGTGATTGGTCGAACAACAACATCTGGAAACAATGAAAGTGCTGCATTCTTAGTTTAAAAGACTCTAGAGACTGCAGCACACACACTTTTCATGACGGTGGATTAACTCATTTTAAAAACGCATTCTTGCAATTTCTACATTCATTAAGACCTTTTTAATGGAATACATATGTGCAGGATAGACATGATTTTCATTGGAATTTGATTATAAAAGATAAAAATAACATCAGCATTATTTATTACATCAAAATGTCAATACAAAAAACACAAATTGCATTTTGTAAATCTTAAATATAGAAGTCTGCAGTAAATTTAAACTTAGTATTTAGTTCAATGTACTACTAATACTACTACCCTTCCCACTGCGGCTAATGCATACATACAAAATGTTATAAAATTGTGAATAATGTCATTTCAAAAACATTCATTAATCTCTTATTCATGTGTGTTTTGGTCACTTTCTGGAGGCAAACATTGAACTTCTTTCATGATAATGTTTTGGGTCTGTCTGTAAATGTATGTCAAAACAGCAGCAGTTATAGTAGCAGTAGTAGTAATATTAGTATTGTGTATTTGTGATTACAACGGTAAGAAAATATTGACAGAAAAACTGACACAATAGTATCAGACATGAAAAAAAAACACTTCTTTGATACATGAAGAATGTGTAGTCACTTAATCTTACACATGTCTTGGGTCACATGTCCGTATTTAACCTCGGCCTCTTGACCCAAAACTCAACAACAAAAAATCCACATTGAGAATCACGCCTTTCCCCGTGTTTCCCACCCTGCTTTGCGCGCTCCAGAGGACACGCGCTCGGGGAGTGACTGCTGAACAAACACGAGCGCATGACATCAACAGGTGCCATGGCAACCGCTTCTCTAATCTGATCTGACAATAAACCTCTGGATTAGGGCGCTATTGTCTCAGCCCACGGCCCTGGATTCAGACAGACACAGACAGCGTGTTATAGTGCAGCTAGAAACGTGCAACGTAATGTGCAATATTATTAGAGTGGATTGGATTGTTTGAATGGGGGAAACAAAAGCAACATGGCATTAATTTACGTTGTCATAAGAATTGGTGATGTAATGGAATAAAATATGATAAATATATGTGTCTACTCGGCAAAAGCAACAGTCAAACAATCAATCATTCGATATTTATTTTTAAGGCACATTTAAAAACAGTCGGGACATTCATAAAGTGGCGTACAAACAAGAGAAAAACAACAACAATATAAAAGATGCATACAAATACAAAGGAATATGTGTATATACAAATAACACTTGTCTATTTCCACCTGGTGTTACAAACCAATGAGAAAAGATGCACCTTAAGCAGGGAATTATACTGAGCAAAGGTGAAGATAAATACAGTCTATGGTAAAGAGTCCTATCACAGATGGTCTTATATGGATGCATGCACGCTTACCACATCCAATAAAACTAAACCAGGAGGGCAGAATACAATAGAACGACTGAATACGTCTGCATTTGGACTAGTATTATTATAGGACGTAAAGAAGTCTGAACTAAACTAATCTTTATGGTCTGAACGCTTCCTGTCTGCGCAATGACGCATGGATACAGGACCATCCCTACCTGCAGCCCTGCTAACAAAACGCTTTAAAAAGAAGAGTATCGGTTTGCTCTGTGCATATACGCAGCTACAATGACTTTAATCGAGCTAAAAAAGATCAGAATATAGAAGGGGCACTACTCACCATACTGGCAGAGAGGTTACGCACAGTGGAGCGCGTACGTGCCAAAGCCAAGAAACGACTGAGTGAATTTCGTACACACCCCATGGTAAACACACGGTGAGCCCGAGGTCCTGTTTAGCTGACTCGCTGAAGCCTGAATACAAAAGCTAGATTGTGATTGGCCAGTTCCTAAACGCGTGTCAGCACGAGTTAATCATAAACCACCAGCGCAGAGCAATATGGTTCTATTTCAGGACTTTCCTTCGTTTCCTATGGGCTCGATGTTTAGAAGGCACATTGTCTCTGGATCAAACAACTGCACGTAAAGAGTACACTTAGTAACATTCAATATGTATCAAGTATACGTTTTTGTGTGCATCTGAGCATCTGCAACTCTGAGTTGGTTATGGATCTACAGGAGTTGGCTCATTGTTGACATAGTCCCCACGAGCCCAGGCGTGACTTCTGACTTCTGACATAATTCTTGGTATGTCTTGGTATAAAAAAGTATTTCATAAACTATAGTTCAGTAAAGTCCTTCATCTTTTAAACATAAACTATGGGAGGTTGAGGAAAGGCAGATCTAGCCGTCAAAGCCTTCGGGCACGACGTTTTTAAACACAAAGTTGTACAAAAAATAAAAAATATATATACTGAAATCAAGAAATTCAGCTGAGAGAGTTACTGCTATAAAATAAATGCAAGTTTAATAAAATCTGATTTACAAACACAAAACGCTGCAACAATACAAATATGTCTAAGATTGCATCCATGATTTGAGTTGGGTGTAGGTGATGTCTACATATCAATGCTCTCCCAACTGAGCAACTATCGTCCGAATCCAAAATTGTGTCCAAAAAAACCAACAAAAGCAATAGAGTCTGGGTTTTGTGATGGAAAATAAACCATTCCCTTCTATTTGTCAAAATCTCTTTTCCTTCTGTGGTTCACTAAAGTGTGATTTAGTACAAGGTGGAGTCCAGAAGGGGGCAGTGTGGGACAGGAAAAAAATGCTAGAGTGAAGGAAAGAAAAGCAAGAAAACGGTCTCAAATTATTGCATAAAACAGTGCAAGAGCAGTCCCAGGAGACTGTTTGTGTGAGTGAAAAAAGAAGGAGGATAAAAAGGCTGTGTCACGCTGTATTACTCAGGCTGCACTACAGCGTCTATTCACAGGCGCGAACCCACTACTGAGCGGCACGGGGGCTTTGACCTGCTCCGTTTCCGACCTGGGCCGGTGCACCCCTCCTTAGACGACCTGGTGGTCCCGGGCTCCCCCAGGAGCACCATATCGATACCGGGCTTAGTGCGGACACCCGATCAACATAGTCCACTGCAGCTCAGAGCTCCTGAGCTCAAACGCTCCTCCAGCCTCAGCCTCCCGGTAGCTTGGATTACAGGCGCACGCCACTGCTCCCGGCGACCGTTCCAGAGCTCACAGGACATTTGGGCTTTACCTGCGTGACGTCATCCATCTACATGTCCGTGTCTCGGCCTCAATAGTCTGTAGAATGACGTGGTTTTGTCCAGAGGAAAACTTCTGACAAAAGTCTTTCACTCTGAGATTTGTTTCAGAAGTGATCCAAGTTTGTGATTGCCACTGGCTCTCTGTATGAGGCTAATCTTTAGGCCTGTATGGTTTATCCAACAACAAAGGTACATTTTTTGTTCATTCATTTTTCACTTTTTTTTAATTAATTACAAACGTTGGGTTTTCCTTGTTTGATTGGCCTTTGTCGCCCTCCTTTGGACAAAAGAACTCCCTACACCCCACAATGATCAATAATGAAACTATAATGTTCAATCATTTGTCATTTTCTTTCATACCAATTTTCATTCCATTCCATTTTATTAATAAACGTTCATGTTTTTGCAGGGTATATAACAACCAGAGTTACAGAGCGGCAAACTGTCTTTTATCTATGCTCAAACTGCAAACAGTCGATATCAGAAAGTGTGTAGTTTGAGTATTTCTTTGTCAACAACACACACTGTGTTCTTTCCTTGTGGGAGAGTCTTATTTGTCCATCACAAGTTCATGCAATGGAAACGATGTGAAATATGTAACAAATCCATTTTCTCTGTGATCGATGACATCAAATCATAATCATGGGCCTCTAATGTAGTGATGGTGTGGACGAATTTCATTTTCATTTTACCTTGTACTTTTGTTTGGAAAAACTAACTCTGGATGGTAATTGTCATTTGTAATGAAAACTTCTTGGTTTTATAATGGAAAATAAACCATTTCCTTATATCTGTCAACATCTCTTTTCCTTCTGTGGTTCACTAAAGTGTGATTTAGTACAAGGTGGCGTCCAGTAGAGGTCAGTGTGGGACAGGAAAAACATACTAGAGTGAAAGGAAGAAAAGCAAGAAAATGGTCTCAAATTATTGCATAAAACAGTGCAAGAGCAGTCCCAGGAGACTGTTTGTGTGAGTGAAAAAAGAAGGAGGATAAAAAGGCTGTGTCACGCTGTATTACTCAGGCTGCACTACAGCGTCTATTCACAGGCGCGATCCCACTACTGAGCGGCACGGGGGCTTTGACCTGCTCCGTTTCCGACCTGGGCCGGTGCACCCCTCCTTAGACGACCTGGTGGTCCCGGGCTCCCCCAGGAGCACCATATTGATACGGAACTTAGTGCGGACACCCGATCAACATAGTCCACTACAGCTCAGAGCTCCTGAGCTCAAACGCTCCTCCAGCCTCAGCCTCCCGGTAGCTTGGATTACAGGCGCACGCCACTGCTCCCGGCGCGACCGTTCCAGAGCTCACAGGACATTTGGGCTTTACCTGCGTGACGTCATCCATCTGCATGTCCGTGTCTCGGCCTCAATAGTCTGTAGAATGACGTGGTTTTGTCCAGAGGAAAACTTCTGACAAAAGTCTTTCACTCTGAGATTTGTTTCAGAAGTGATCCAAGTTTGTGATTGCCACTGGCTCTCTGTATGAGGCTAATCTTTAGGCCTGTATGGTTTATCCAACAACAAAGGTACATTTTTTGTTCATTCATTTTTCACTTTTTTTTTTTATTAATTACAAACGTTGGGTTTTCCTTGTTTGATTGGCCTTTGTCGCCCTCCTTTGGACAAAAGAACTCCCTACACCCCACAATGATCAATAATGAAACTATAATGTTCAATCATTTGTCATTTTCTTTCATACCAATTTTCATTCCATTCCATTTTATTAATAAACGTTCATGTTTTTGCCGGGTATATAACAACCAAAGTTACAGAGCGGGAAACTGTCTTTTATCTATGCTCAAACTGCAAACAGTCGATATCAGAAAGTGTGTAGTTTGAGTATTTCTTTGTCAACAACACACACTGTGTTCTTTCCTTGTGGGAGAGTCTTATTTGTCCATCACAAGTTCATCCAATGGAAACGATGTGAAATATGTAACAAATCCATTTTCTCTGTGATCGATGACATCAAATCATAATCATGGGCCTCTAATGTAGTGATGGTGTGGACGAATTTCATTTTCATTTTACCTTGTACTTTTGTTTGGAAAAACTAACTCTGGATGGTAATTGTCATTTGTAATGAAAACTTCTTGGTTTTATAATGGAAAATAAACCATTTCCTTATATCTGTCAACATCTCTTTTCCTTCTGTGGTTCACTAAAGTGTGATTTAGTACAAGGTGGCGTCCAGTAGAGGTCAGTGTGGGACAGGAAAAACATACTAGAGTCAAAGGAAGAAAAGCAAGAAAATGGTCTCAAATTATTGCATAAAACAGTGCAAGAGCAGTCCCAGGAGACTGTTTGTGTGAGTGAAAAAAGAAGGAGGATAAAAAGGCTGTGTCACGCTGTATTACTCAGGCTGCACTACAGCGTCTATTCACAGGCGCGATCCCACTACTGAGCGGCACGGGGGCTTTGACCTGCTCCGTTTCCGACCTGGGCCGGTGCACCCCTCCTTAGACGACCTGGTGGTCCCGGGCTCCCCCAGGAGCACCATATCGATACCGAACTTAGTGCGGACACCCGATCAACATAGTCCACTGCAGCTCAGAGCTCCTGAGCTCAAACGCTCCTCCAGCCTCAGCCTCCCGGTAGCTTGGATTACAGGCGCACGCCACTGCTCCCGGCGACCGTTCCAGAGCTCACAGGACATTTGGGCTTTACCTGCGTGACGTCATCCATCTGCATGTCCGTGTCTCGGCCTCAATAGTCTGTAGAATGACGTGGTTTTGTCCAGAGGAAAACTTCTGACAAAAGTCTTTCACTCTGAGATTTGTTTCAGAAGTGATCCAAGTTTGTGATTGCCACTGGCTCTCTGTATGAGGCTAATCTTTAGGCCTGTATGGTTTTTCCAACAACAAAGGTACATTTTTTGTTCATTCATTTTTCACTTTTTTGTTATTAATAACAAACGTTGGGTTTTCCTTGTTTGATTGGCCTTTGTCGCCCTCCTTTGGACAAAAGAACTCCCTACACCCCACAATGATCAATAATGACACTATAATGTTCAATCATTTGTCATTTTCTTTCATACCAATTTTCATTCCATTCCATTTTATTAATAAACGTTCATGTTTTTGCAGGGTATATAACAACCAGAGTTACAGAGCGGGAAACTGTCTTTTATCTATGCTCAAACTGCAAACAGTCGATATCAGAAAGTGTGTAGTTTGAGTATTTCTTTGTCAACAACACACACTGTGTTCTTTCCTTGTGGGAGAGTCTTATTTGTCCATCACAAGTTCATCCAATGGAAACGATGTGAAATATGTAACAAATCCATTTTCTCTGTGATCGATGACATCAAATCATAATCATAAGCAGTCCCAGGAGACTGTTTGTGTGAGTGAAAAAAGGAGGAGGATAAAAAGGCTGTGTCACGCTGTATTACTCAGGCTGCACTACAGCGTCTATTCACAGGCGCGATCAGAGCATCAGAAGACATCTTTATTCTCTGGTAAAAATTGAACTGTGTATATCTCAATCGGCGCCAGAGTGAAAGAGGGGGTGCGGCCTTGTGCAGGGGCATTTATAGAGGAAGGTGGCTGGTGATTGGAGCAAATTATTTTGATCTCTCTGGCGTGTGACCTGGGGGTCACGAGTGATATCCCACTAGCGAAGTCCTAAGGGACGTAGTACCATGACGTAGAATACATGGGTCCATATCTTGTGGTTTCAAATTGGTTCAGAAACGTTAAATTAGTGTCAGCTGAAGTAATGGGTTGTTAATTATTGTATAGCTGTTAATTGATACTGTATCATGGACGTGCGCAGGAGCTGACAGCACAAGACACTAATAAATGTGTCTAAACTCACACAAACCTACTTTAATCCAAATCACTGCGTCTGAGTAAAACGGGCCAAAGCCACAGGCACTGAAGTGGAAAGCTCACGTTTTGTGGTCAAGTGTCTCACAGTCTGAACAGAAGTGGTCAGCAGGTGTCAGCAGGTGGTCAGGAGCGGTCTGAGAGTCTCTGGTCAGCAGTGATGTCTCCTGGTGGAAGAAATCCTCGAGTGAAGTTTCACCAAATGAGTTTGTGTCGCAGCCAAAGTTTTGCGCAGATGCACTGATTCAAAAGACGCACTGATTCAAAAGATGCGCTGCCCCTAGCAACAGATGCCCTTAGCAACGCTCTCCTGACAACAAGAGGCACTTGTGCTGTGTCTATATTTTCATTGAGTTGTAATGAGAAACTTGCGGTCACTAAAACTGTGTCCATCATAAGCAGAGAACGCCGTGCCAGTCTGTGCACTGAGCAGTTTACATCCTCAGCGTCTTTTACGTACGGGCTGCGACTGATCGTGGCTCAAACGCTGTCAAACACTGAGGAAACGTGACAGCAACAAGTTTTTATTGCACATTTTCAAGTGAAAGAACAGAAAGCTCCCAGAAGCGCATGCGTGGTCACAGTAAAACTTGGCTCTGTCAATTTTGACGAAAATATGACAAATATATGTGAAAAAAGACAAAGTTACATTGAAATAAAACAACAGCACTCATCACTATTATTACAATTTTATTCTATTTTCTTTACATAATTGCAGGTAAGGCCGGGCCTCACCCGTACAAAAGTCTTTCACAGAGCTCACAGGACATTTGGGTTTTACCTGACGTTATCAATAGTTTTTTTTTTTTTTGCTTCGTTGTGACGTTTCAAGACAATGTCTGATAATCCCCCCCTTATACTTACATTAGCCTAAGTCATTTCTCTGAAAGCAGTAACATTTTCACCCCTATAGTTTAAGATGAGAAAACTGTTATTTTATTTGTCAAGATTTTTGGTCTTCTTCTTTGGACTTAATTTATATTTGTCTATATCCCTTACATTATTTCATTTTCAGATATATTTTTATTTCAAGTCTTGTACTGGTTCTGTGCTCTGCCCTTTGACCACTTTTTATGGTGTTTTGGATAATGACCGGTGTCTTCTGCTGTCAACATGGAGCTCAGACCGAGTTTGTTTCCAGCGACTGTGATCTTATTCATTCTTTCCAACGGCAGCATTGGAGGACAATCAGGTGAAAGTTATTCTGTGGTTAATTAGCATCAGAGTTTTACAGGAAAGTGTTTACATCATGGTTTTGGTTCAAATTAATTATACTTTTTGAAAACAGCTGCTCTGAAAATGGACCAGGCTTTGATCACATTTCAGAACCTGCTTACTGAAGAGGTGCACATTTACTTCACTTCAGACTACTGCTATAAGGTACATTTCTCTATATTATTATTAGGCACATTCAGATTCAGAGCAACGACTGGATAGCCAAATATTACAAAATTAATTGTTGCTTTGTGAGTGTCAAAAAGGGCTATATAACATCAATGCACAATTACTGTTATTACATTCTGCTATAATTTGGACTATTATAGCCAAAGTAACACCATCACAATTAAAACAGGACTTTGCTACAGCTGTTTGTAAGTCTATTGTTTTGGCTAAAACGTTTAACCATTGTGGCACGGATTTCTGTTGCGTTAGATTCATTGCCAAAGTAAGTTATTGTGTTGGACAAGTGGGTTGTATTTGAGTGACTAATGCTCATTCAAGTTATAGAGAAGGCATATTCAACTAGTGGCCCAGGGACCATATCAGGCCCTCTGAATATTTAATCCAGCCCTTAGTCTATTTTCCATCCATACATCCATTTTCTTCCCCTTAATCCATTTCTGGGTTGTGGGACAGTCAGAGCTGCACCCAGTGGCTCAGTTGCTCTACCAACTGAGCCACTGTCGCCCCTAGTCTATTTTCAAGATTGTAAAATAAACCTGACTAAATCCTGGTTTATACCTGGTTGATCATAGTTCAACCAGGTATAAACCAGGATTTATACCTGGTTGATCATAGTTCAGTTTTACTTTTTTTACTGGTTTGGTATTCATTATTTCACAAACTATAGCAGATAAGGTCATATAAATTATAATTGTATGTGGTATATTTACTGCGACCCCAACCTCTGTTAACAGTGGTGAGCCGTGGTACAATTTTCCAGGCCAGAGGTCAAGGCCTTTCCATTTCCAAAAAATTGAGCCCTTGGGGGAAAAAAGTAGAATATTAAAGAGGCATGACACAAAGAGCACTATGGTAGACACTGTGCATTAGGGTAAATTATCTTAATGAATGGATTCTGTTTATTTCCCAGTGTGTGCAACAGCCTTTGACCAGTGTAAAACCAAACAACAGTTCATCTGTGATCATCAGCACAAAGTTCACTTTAACAATGCAGGCGGAGACCAAAACCAGGAACAGCTCTTTCTGCAGGTGATTTAAATGAATACAGGTTTTGCATTTATTTCTGTGTGTATTTTGTTGTATCACATGGTTGAAAATTAAGTAGAAAAACGTAAAAAAAAATTAAAGAAGACACATCATCGGCTCTTTTCATTGAATCAGGACACCCCTGCAGTAATCTTGCTGACCCAGTTCCTGTAACAGTTCATCTGTAATATACTGCCTTTAGTGGCATCCAGTGATTGCCTCAGCAGCCTGGGACATTATTTACAAGTCTGGGGTTGTCTTTCTGACCTGGTTCCATAGACCTGGCCTTGCCCTGCTTTGAACCTATGCTCTTATTGATCTCTAGGCTTTTGGAGACTCTATTGATAACAATGGATCATTAAGCATTTAACACATACATCTCTTTGGGGATGCTAAAAAGTGTTACTCAAAACAGTTTCTAACAGCATGACAAAGGCTGTGTCACCTCTGAGCCCATTGCGAGTATCGTCAGTCTTTTTGCATTCTCTTTTGTCAGATCAATGTGAGGTCTCTAACCAGGCTGTGCTGCTATTGATCTGCCCTTTCCCCTTTGAAAAAAAAAAACCTCTCCAAGTGATAGCTACTATGTCATCCCAGCAGCACAAGATCAATACTGACATGTAATGCAGCTTTTTGGAGCAGAAAAAGGATATGGTGAATGTATTGAGATTTGCGTTGCGTGTCAGAAGCGCTAGGTGGCACTGTTGAGCTGAGAAAGAGGCACATGTAAGTTATCTAGTTTGCAAACCAGGTGAAAAAGCAGATGATATAATGCAAAATGCGCGTCATATTCAATTTAAAATGCAAGATGATTGTGTTTAAGTGACTATGCTTCTTTTTTTTCGTTAAGATGGAGCCAAACTTATGGAGAAGGAGGACATTACTTGGTTGATATTCGGCTTTCAGAAGTGGTCGATGAACCAAGCTGTACACACACCGTCCAGACATCGCCTCACAATGTTTACCTGCGTGAGTACTCATTTGAAGATTGTATGATTCTGGACTGGCCAGGGTTGCAATGGCATAACCCTGTCTCTATGAATCGTGGGAGACAATGATACAAGAAATGCAAGAAAATTTAGACAAAACAAAGTCTCCATGTTCGTCCAAATTAGTCCAAAGAAACCAATCATGACAAGTTATCTGTTATGTACAATAGGTTGTTTTTGGATAGAGCTATTTTTATGATCTGCTCAAACAAGACCAACATTGTCCTGCTGCTTTGTGTAATAATAATTCCCCCCTACTTCTATATTAACTTATACTACACATGCATCTTGTGACTTTTTATTATTGGTACTAAACTGCCAAAGAAAAAATCATAACATTTATAGACGACCAAGATATGTGTTAGTCAGCTAATTATCTAAATTCAAATTAAATTAATGGGAACAATGAGAAGGCATAGACCATATTGGCTAAATATTGTGGTTATTCAAGCAGTCACATTTTTATTGACGGATGCATTTGTTTTGTGTGGAGTAGTAAAGTGATCAAATAGCTATAGTAATAGTTTTAGGGGCTTTTGACATGCACCACAAAGCCTTTCCTTTGTCTTCAGCCTTATACTCAAATATTGCACAAATATCACTCATCAGTAGTAGTAATTTAACGCCTAAACAACAATAACATCGAGCCTAACTATACACTATCATTTCATCGTTTCTTTCTACCAAATATAATGATCTAATCTCACATATGTCTTCTCACATTAACAGCCGGATCTATGTCTATTCTTTCTCACTGCATTAATCATTAGTGATATATGACACTCCCATCCGACAGACGTGATGATTGAAAACTGGATAAAACAATAACATTTCTGTTTGTTTTGAATGTCTCTCCCTGCAAAGCACTGTGGGTAATACATTAGGCAGTGTCGAAGGATTAGGCCGTAATGGGATTTTGAAAGCGCCTCTCTCCATAATGTACACTCTACTTAACAATATTGCAGATTATGTTGGATCCGACTTTTAAGGCCAAGTAGCCATTATCTGCAGATATATGGTGCAGTCCATTAGCTCCTCAGACCGGTGATTACACAGACTTCCCATAGGACCATCTCGGCTTAAGTAATGGTCAGGTCAGTGGCTGCGGACAGGTTAGACTTGCCCTGGTTGCGAATTTTCAAAGTTTACTTCATAGTCTCCGATTGATCGACTCCAGGCTTACGTGAGGTCATCTACTGGACATGTTTGGTGCACGGCTCCTTTGCGTCTTTGACTTTAATCATGTTAGTAGAGTATTTTCCAATGCACCGCAAACCCCAAGCCACCTGCGAGGAGTTGATTCGAACTAAGAAATTCACATTATCGACCAACGCAAGTGTTTAGTTTGACTGGTGCAGCTGTATTGATGAAGAGAAGGTAATCGTGTTATTGCAGAATCCCCCGATGGATTTTGTGTTTGAGGACATAGAGTTTGAGGAGGTGACAATTTTGGTTTAGCTCATGTATTGGTTCAAGCTTGGATAGATCTGGCAACAGTTATATTATGTCACCGAATGTGCCTCAAGATACAATTCAGTGACCTTTTTTGCAGCCAAGATCCAATACCCACTTGTTCCGGCCAGCTACTTGTCTTGGGGATTTTAAAATAAAGTTGCATTTTGGCTTTCACAACTTTAAAAATGAAATCCTTAGAAAACCTCTTACACTCTCTAGCATTTTACGATATATAATACATTTTTTGTCGGCCAATTATTGTCAAATTAAAACTCCTGGAAAGATGACAGGTCAAAAAGAATAATGTATTCCTCTTATTTACTGTCAAATCAATCTTTCTGGGATTAACTAGGACTTTAACTCAAAATTCTCAAATACAATGTAGTCTTAGTATAAATTGTCAAAAAGTCAATAGGGAATCAGCTCTTTGCTTTATTCCAAGTCCCTAAATCTCCTTTTCAGTGAAATTTGCCTCTGCTGTGAAAAGAAAATTGTTAAAACCCAATCACGGTCACCCAAAGAAAATGTAGGAGGACTTTGGAGTTCGATCTTTCTCTGTGCAGGCAATGTTCCCATTTATAATTAGAGTCAATGTCAAAACTACTGGCCCTCAGCGTCACAAAGAGTCCAGCCATTTGTTTGTATTCCAAAGGGTCCTATAATAATTTAAATTTCACGTTGCATCGTTTATTTTCAGTCATTTTAGAGACTGGTATAGTGTATATTTAGAGATAGATCACAAACAACTTAAAAACAAAGAATCTCCCCAACCTCTCAGTGATCAGGAATTGGAATCACAATGTTTGAGCTCGCGATTGTTGTGGGTGATTAAAAAAACCATCGGGAATGACCAGTGTCCAGTGTTGCGTGTTGAGAGTTTGATGGTGTTTTTATGTGGTTGGCTTGAGAGGTTGCGACCCTTCAGCTGTGATAAAGTGACCGCTCTGTTGCTCTGTGAGAGGGAGGAGAGATTTCTACTGTTTGTTTTTCCGCTGTGGTCTCGAGCCCTGACGTGGCAGAGCCAGTCATGTCAAATAACTTGGATCTATTTGGAATTGTGGCTTTATAATTAGAGATCTGCTTGTGAATGTCCCAATGCACATGAAAAATCTGTCAAAAATTGCTCACATTTGGCAAAATGTAGGTTAACTAAATCACATTCTTGTTTTTTAAAGCAGTTAAAAGAAGATGGTGTGGAAAATCAACCTCAGAGACGGGATCTTTACGCATCAGAGCCACCTTCTTCAATGGGATAAGCAAAATTATTAAGAAATGTCTCCCTTGGAATGAGAGAGCAACAGTTCTTGAAATAAGAATAAATGGCTTCTACCAAAATCTTTTTTTTAAGACAGTCAGAATGTACTCAAATTATGATAAAAAATCACTCATTTTTTGACAAGCACATTATCAACAATGGAGTAGTGTGGATCGATGATGATAAAATTAGGATTATTTAGCGTGTAATTTAAATCCAGATTATTCATTTCTAGTTGTCAAAATACTTAACTGTACTGTCAATATTATTCTGTAGTGATGATGGAGCTTATAAGTGTTTCATACTCTCATACTGTATTTATGAGCATTTTCAAGGCCCTTAAACCTCTAGATGAGAAACCATATGAGCTCTGTTTTATTACCACTTTGAGATTAAAATACCAGAGTCTCCATATTTATAAACAGTTTTTTACTATTCCTTCATTTGTCTTCAGCTATCTGACAAACATGGCATATTTTCTTTTACTAATCATTGTTTGTCATGATCTGTTGGTGTAGTGGTCGTGCATTAACAAGTAGCATTAAAAACTAGAAAATAATGACATACTTTGCCTTTTGCTTTGCTACAATGTTCCACTTGGACATCAACATGTTCAAAGATCTGTTTGAGAAAGCCTGTAGCACGTCATGCGATAATTTCAATCAGATATTACAGTTAAATATACAATATCAAGTGAAATACCCACAAAGAAAGTACCATGGGTTGGTTCTCATTTGTATGCAGTGTGTTTCATCCTTACCATAACAATATAACGACCACAGTGTACACCCTGGGGTAAAGTACAGTGTGTCTTCTTTGTGCTCTTTCTCCCTGGACCTCATTCTGTGGCGCCTGGAGGTCAGATCTCCCACACTGATGGTTTTGTGATGGATCATGAGCCGGGCCTCCATTAGGTTTGTGCGTGTTTGACTGACGGAGCCCCGCGGGGAGACCTCAGGCCAGTGTACAGTTTGTTTTGTTAATCTGGGCTTTTATCTGCGCTCAGTTTCTTTTGTGACTTACAGACATGCGGAGGTCACTGAGCGGGCAAACGGGAGATAAGACGGGAGCTTCGTCAAACGGGGTGGTCGTGAGAATACTGTCATTTTGGGGCAAGGAGAAAGGGAAGGGAAGGTTTAGAAGTCACATTTACAACAGCTGTTTTTTTGTTGATATCATGGAAACCACAGCGTCTATAAGAGATTTGTAAAAGGAAGTGCAAAAAGGGATCGAATATCTATTTGGTATGCAAACTAAATGTAACACCCAGTATAAACAAAAGTCAACCAATAACTTCACTCTTTCTTAAGTAGATACGTTTTCAGGAGCTACCACTGGATAAAAGCATTTTCCTTTGGTTTCTCTTTTTAATGGACTTGTCCTTAGAGTTAGGGGTTCTTTCGGCACCCCCTCAGCTGTTACTAATATTGTGTTTTGAGACCTGTCAGATTTGTTCTTTAGCCCAAATAGTAGCGATAATTTCCATTTATTTAGATTAAGATTAATCTAAATAACTCTCTCACTTAAAATTTTCCTTCAGAAAAGGTCAAATATGTTTTGCACATGTTGACTGGGGAAACATACCAAAGAGGTAGTTGTAATTTAATGCAAATATGAAATACAAAATGACGTCCTATCCCTTTTAAACTTAAAAAAGACGTCATGATGTCACAATTTGTCACAATTATTGCCTCTAAGGTTGTGTTCCACATTTGGTTCTTATGATGTCGCAGACTGTTTCAAACAAAGTGAACTGAGGTGATGTTTTCTTTCCCTAAAGTGCATCAGAGTCTACATCAATAAAACATATTATTATTAACCATGTTCTGTCCATGATGGCTCAGCACAAAACTGCGACAGCTACAGTTTAGCCGCCTGAGTAGGACAAAAGTAATCGGACGAAAAGGCCAGGGGGAGACGATTGATCTGATTCATGCCTGAAGTTCTTGATATACTGTATTTGTGTGGATTTAGCTATAAACAGGTATTTTTTATGAAAGAAACACTGGTTATTATCTCATCTTAGATCTTATATATTGCGTGTACTTAGTGTGCACTTGTATATAGTAGTAAGTTTATGAAATTCTAATACGATTCTTTTATGCATGTCTTTATATCTATTTTTACTTTTTGTACCTTAAAGGTATATAGGAGGGTTTTCTACTTCCAGGTGGATCATCAAGACTATTGGTCTTTCCAATTGTCAATCATTCTGGAGATATGTGCTCGTCAGATACGACCAGAGATTTGTTCAAAAAGTGGAGAGGGCGGTTCTTTCCTAAAATGTGTGACTTCCTGTACTTATAATGACAATACAAAGAATTCTGATTCTGAGAAAGAGGATTTTGAATTGATAATATTATGTATGAAGTGTAGTTTTATCTTGTCTTCCAGCTCTCCTCGTGGCTGCTCTCGTCCTGCTCTTTCTCTCCGCCCTAGTTGTTGCTGCTCCGTACATTTACAGGTAAGTGTTTTTCCTTTATATGAAAATCCCATTGATTCTTTCTTCCATCCGAACTCAGACCAAACTCATTTCCCGCTCACAGGAGGCGTGATACATCAAAGTTTCTCAGGGCCGTTTGCTGCAGGAGCCCTCAGTATTCAGTGGACAAAGTAAGAAAGGCTTTGATTGTTGCTTCACAAATGAGACCTTTGCATTATACAGAACAATGAGGAATCCCTTTGAATCAATATGAAACTAATTAAGCCCTTTGAATGTGATTAGTATCGGAGTGGGAGTGTTCACGTGGTCAGATCATTTAAAACGTTTGCATTGATAAAGATACTCCATAGATTTCATGACGAGACGGTGCTTCTGTGATAGTTATGTTAGCTATGGATAAAATGCATTCTTCTTACTCATAATTCTTCTTTTTCAAATATCACTACAAATACCTTGAATGGTTAATGACATTGGGGTGTGCTAAAAATCTAAATCAAAACAGCTTTTATATATATTGTTTTTATTATAAATTAGAACCAATATCAATGTTTATCTAATTTCTCCTCTTCAGTTCATATGTCTCTCAATTTTAGATAATTTTAAGGCAAGTTCATTAGTAAAGCACATACATACACAAGGCACCTCAAAGTGTTTAACGAAACAAGATAAAAAAAATCATATAAAATCATAAATAATCACAGTACATCAAAAAGAGTGAGGATTTGTATGCAGCTAAACATACCTGCTTTTGACCTGGATTTGAACATTGTCAGCAAAGAATCCTGTCTCACGTTTTCAGGAAGACTGATCCAGACTTTTAATACTTGACAATAAGCAAGATTGAGAAAAGTTCAGACTGCGATCTCTCAATATTTTTTGAAATAACAATCAAAAATGGCTACTATCGTCATGCAGATTATCATGACACAAAACGTCAATATTGTCCTGTGGCTTGGCTGGATGTTCAATGTCTTTCACTCGGTTAAAACAGATCTGATTGTGAACTTTTCTGCCTGGATGCAAACCTCTGCGCTGGGCCCCCGGGAGTCTGTATTGATGACTGTGATGGATACAAATGTTATCAGAGAGCTCCCTTCTGGAGACCTCCAGCGCTAGACCAGGGCCCTGCATCCGACAATCATCCCGTTTGATGCTGTGCGTTTTGGGCAAGCATGAATACCGCCTCTGTGGTCCGTACGCAGAGCTTTGGCATGGAGATCAATCAAAACATATTAGGGCCTTGTGTCTTCCTGCTCTGGCTCCGTCAAGGGTCCGGCTAATCCAAATGAGAGGGCAACAGGGCACAGTGCTGCGTTCAAGGGCCTTAGGAAATCCAGGCGCCCCCACTGCCTCCTTCTTAACCCTGTCAAAATAGAGACGGATGAGTGTGTTGGGAGACGTGACCCTTCGACAGTAAATGTACAGAACTATCGCTGAGTTTTAGCTTGAATAATAAGGATTGGGTTCACAGTATGAGGCCAGGACGACGTAACCACATTTCTCAGAACAACTTTGTATGATTATACACTTGATGGTGATTTAATTGGAACTGCTTTAATTAAAATGGAAATCTGATTTTACAGTACCGTGTTTAGTTTAATATACGTTTACAGTTGGAGGTGAAAGTTCCTCCGTCCAACAAGATTTTATAATGTTTTTTTGAATAATAAAGGTTGGAATCAAAATGTAAAAGACAGATTGTTTTCTACATTTTGATATAGATAGAAGGGCCTTTTATGGCATAGAACGATGTAGCGTGTTTGAAAGTCTGTAGGTAAGAAAAACAATTATTTTCAGTAATTATTAGTCGACAAGTTGTTTGCTGGTCATTGCAACCATAAACAAAAAGCTTCAGAAACAATGCTTTTGAAATTTGAACGTTATTGAATGCTATTAAATGTCTAACTGGGTCTAAACCAATGAACAAGAGATTATATATTTTTGTATGTGGAAGTTTAGCATTCCGAATTCAGCCTTGATTGTTAAATATGCCTGATTTAAAATGAAAACCTAATTCTTCTTTCTCACCGCAGACTGAACCACCAGAATGCGACCGACCCAAATCCGCTCGTCTTCAGTCTCTGGACACATTTCGAGGGTAAGACCATAAACTCCCATTAAAACCACATCCTTCAGCACATTTAGATGGAGACAGTGCACTCCCCCTTTGGTCCAGCGAGGTCCACAGCAGCAGGCCTGGTCAATAGTGAATAATTATAGGGGTCAGCGTCTGGCCATAGGCTCCCTCTGCCTTTTGCTTATCAAACGCTATAGCTCAGGGCCATGTGTACACTGTATGTGTGTGCGTGCTTGAGGGCCGTGTATTTCTATTGGACAAGAGTGATTGAATTTAGGCTCTTTAATTGCGGCCTGGAGCGAGACACAAAGCATGCTATCTGGAAACAGGAAGCTGGTGTCGCTTTGACCTCCCCCTTTTGCCAAATAATTAATGTAATAAAACCGTCAACATATTGGCACACAACCGCACAGACAGATAGACTTGTGCCAAAATGCAGTAGATGGAGATAGACCTGAGGAAGTACAATCAGGGTACAAAAACTATTAGACATACAGTATAGGGCCATGCTTGGAGGATGCAGTCTTGAGTTCAGGAAAGTACAAATATATCAGGGAGTTGGATTGTTTGTGAAAAAGTATACGAAAAATACAGTTTACGTACTTTGGTCTGGGGGAAGGGGAAGAAACGAGTCAGTGTTTTTGGTATTGGTGGGCACTAATTCACTTTGCGTCAATATTTGAACTACTTTTTAATGTACTGTAATTATGTACTGATTTTGAATGCCTCGTGTGATATTATTTTACGTTTTTCTGGAGTTGCTTTGTGTATGAACTGTACTGCACAAAAATAAACCTGCCTTGGCTTGCCTACTGTTAAAGTCATGTTGCTGTCATAGCCATCTGTTCCTCACTTGCTGCACAGTATTGCATTCAAATTATTCAACTTAATTCAGTTTTTAAAGGTGTCATAGATCTATGTGGTATCACCTTTAAACAGGATTTGGGGAGTTCTCTGGAAAAGCAGTGGCATATTCCTGGAGTGAACAGAACAGCTCCATGTTACATTCTTTAGGGATTATATTTGAAATAGTGCAAAACTTAATAACTCAATACAATATTTTGACTTTTTGGTAAGACATGGTAAACATAAATTGATTTAAAAAATGTTATGTCATGAATATTCAATATTTTACTTCCTGGTTAGAGATGATTACATGTTTCAAGGTAAATTTTGCCAAAACTCTACTAATATACTCATTTAACATAATATTATATACATTAATATTACATATCAATGTATGTAATATATCTAAGAAGTTGTGGATTCAATTCTGTGTGAAGTTCTCCCCTTGGTGGGTTTACTCTGGGAACTCTGGTTTCCCCCATCTCCCAAAACCTGCATCATACTAAACATCCTTCAGCTCCGGCCTTGACCGAGCCGAGCATCAACACCAAATCCAGTCTCAACCTGAAGATCTGAGGAAATGGATGGAGTCTGAGGTGCTCCTGCTGGGTGTGATATCAAAACTTACAGCCACACCGGCCCTTTCTGGAACCAGTAAAATTAGTTCTAGGACTCTGCTCCTCCAAGTTCCAGTATGTTCCTCATTTGTGTGAAGCTATAATTTATATTTAAAACCTGGTGCTTTTCCCAAAAATGTCAAAAAGTAGAAAATCATAGAATTCTAGAATTTATTCACCCACTTGTATTTGCGGCATTGTTCTGATAGATGCTCTTTTGGCTAATACTTGGAACGGTGGTGTTTAAATCAAGCCCTGACTCAGCTCCTTCCGCGTGACTTACGATCCATACGTTTTGTAAGCGACAACTTTCCCCGAGAAGCGCGTCGTCCGTCATCTGCCTCCGACACTGGGACAGTTCTGAAGCCAAAGCTCAAAGCAGCGACACACGCAGGACTTGATATACTGTGAACAGCGGAGAAGGCGCTTGTTAATTTTTCTAAAAGGATTTGAGTTTTAATCTGGTGGTGCATTGCTAAAATCCCGCAGCTGGTTCCTGGACTTGGCAGTAGTAGTAGTAATAGTAGTATTCTGACGTTAACACTTATATAATACTGATTTATTGATATGATGACTGTTATTTTGGCATCTGGTCCCACTTTACATATTGATTACCGGTATTTGAATCTTAAACAAAACTTATTTGCACTCAAACTGGAATTTCGGTGCTCAAATATATTACATCAGAGGGATAGTGTGGCCACAATTCTAGGTTCTAGGTGTGTTCCTACCAGAAAAGTTCAATAATATGGCTAATTATTTAATCTTGATCATTATCTAACTAGGTCTCAAGTCCCACTGAGATTTCAGAATCTCCTTTTCAGGGGAGTCGTGGCCACAGAGAGGGGGGCCGGGAGTGGGGTCAGGGAGGGTGTTATGGGGAAATATTGTACATGAAACCTACACAGACACAGGGAGAACATGCAGACTCCACAAAGGAAGACAAAGAAATAATTGTTGTAAATTAGTTAAAATAAAAATGTATTGACCCAAATATTCATACAAGTAAAAGTTAAATTATTTGCAGAATTTGCCATTTCCCTTATGTCACACAGCATGTATATTACACACTAAAATTAGCGTGTAAAACCTTAGTCAAGGTTAGTAACATCTAAAGAGTATTATTCAACATTACTAAGATATATATAAGAGAATACTGCTTCTATTTTAATATCATTTTTTACCCAACCTCAAAACCAAGACCTGAAAGCTTCGAAGTCATCAGTGAATATTATCGGTTCTTATAATAAAAAAGAATAAGCCATTGGTTTTGTGGTCTCCGCTTTTTGGACTCTGAAAAACACTTTCATAGTATTGTTCTTAGACACACGCGCACACACACACACACACACACACACGCACACGCACACGCACACACGCACACACACATACACACGCTCATACACATACACATGTAGCAGCTGAAAACAGTTTTGTCTTCATGTTTTGTGCACTGACATTTTGCAACAGTTTATGGAAAGAAGCTTGTAGTGTGATATATTCAGTGTCGTCAGAATTATGTTAGTGAGAGCAATAGCACTACAATATTTTGATTATTGCTTCATGTATTTGTAATTTCCAGTCTGTCAGCGTCCAGCACCAGAGTCATGCCCTGATCGCTCTGTTCAACGTCAGGAACTACTATTAGAGAAATATCGAGTTCCTCAGCAGGTGGTTGATTCATTTTGTGGTTATTTTCATGCGAGTTTTAGATCGAAGGGGCTGTTAAACAAGTTTAGGTTTCAGACATGATGCCTTCGTAGCCACATGAAAAATTAGCTGCATTTTCACTTAGGCCCCAGTCATTTATTATGACTAGATCGTGTGTCTGTGCGTTTGATACAGAATGTAACATGAGACTGATAGACTGCAGCGCTTTATTTGAAGCAGGAAATGTACTTCACTGGTAATAATCGTCTTTTAATGTCTTCATCAAATTGTCAAACCAAGAACAACATTTATTTTTGCCCCATGTTGGAATGTGGGCAGGCTATACTATTGCTTTATCCTCATAACTCAGATGCTACCATGGAGGAAAAATGTGGGATTCTATCATTCTAACTTTGACAGTGTAATAATAATGAGTTCCTTCTAAACTCTGTAGTCTTTGATCAAATGCATGTGTCCCATTTAAATTGCATTTTTTATATATTTTTCTGCTTTATTTAAATTTGGGAATCCTTTTTAGAGTAGACCTGGAAGTGGCTCACATGGGACAGCTTACCAGTCAAAAATGAAACGCATTAAATAATTACTATTAATGAATTAGTAAGTAAGTAAGTAATCTTTATTTATATACCGCCTTTTCACTGCACATCGGAGTCTCAAAGCAGTTTACAATTGTTATTTTTGGGAGCAGGGTCGCCAGTACAGGAGGCACATGCCAGACCTACTGTACATATTTTTAGTAGTAGGGAAAACCGGAGCACCCGGAGGAAACCTACGCAGACACGGGGAGAACATGCAAACTCCACTCAGAAAGGCCCTGGTCCAACCGGGATTTGAACCCAGGACCTTCTTGCTGAGAGGCGAGAGTGCTATCCACTCAGCCACCGTGCCGCCCTATCATCTATACCTATTAGCAATTATCTTCGCTCCCACTGTTTCTTATAGTAGTGTCCTTGAGTATAGATTGGTGTTATAAGACAAATATACATATAATACACCCCCCAATAGTCTGTAAATGTTAATAAATGTCTGTCCTTAGACCTTTCTGCATCGGCAAAGAACAAGAACAACAACAAAACCAGTGGGGAAAACAATGTGAGAAGAATCGTCTGAGGCCCATGTTGAGCGAGTAAAATAATATGACGATCTGTTGTTTGAGAGTGCGCTTCTGTCTTTAATCGTATAATTTAACGTCACAATGGAGACTATGGATTGCAAATGAATATTGATGAATGCATATTATGTATTTTTAAGGAAGACAAGAAGCTGTATATAGAAAATGGACACATCCTTTGGGTCAGTCCGTTCTAATGGCTCTTTTGAGATGAGAGCTTCAGATTAAGCTCAGTATCAGCAGGTTGGCCTAAAACAGCAGTAATGGCTCCGTGCACCTCCTAATTCAATCACAGCAGAAAAACAAGAGGCGGCAGCGGAGATACAGCTCACCTTATCAGACGGACAGAGGCTGCACTAATGACATTACCGCCCCGAAAGTCCTCCTATGATCTGTGTTGGTTATATTTAATCAGACCAGAATAAAAAGCACAAATGTTGGTATTTACGGCTTTAAAACAGTCGCTAAACCAGTTACAGACATTCTTCGACAAGTTCGGGCTCCGCTAAAGTGCAGCAAATGGACAGTTTTAGTTGAATGATGTTTTTAATAGAATAGAAGGACACATGCAAGAGACTGCAATAGTGGAAATGACCTCAAATTATGTCTGGTTCTTTGGGAAGATGATGGAATGATTAGTCTGCTTGTTTTTCATGTAAATAGTAACATCAACTCAACATTTGAATTCTGAATTTGTTTTGGCTGTAACTTCATAACACTGGGCATGGTTTAAACTGTGATTTTGTTCTTGGTCTAGTAGTTTTACATCAGTCTCAGTTCTCTATTCAAAACAAACAAATACTCAAATACAATTGGTGCACAAGAGAAGCAATCGTAGTTTAACATACTTTCATTATTAGCTTTTGAGTCAACTATTGCTAACACTCATTATCCAGTGTTCCCCGACCTTTTTAAACCGTGGCACATGTTTTTCATCAATCCAAACAATCACATGGGACACCACTATCTGAAACTGATACAAACTTGAAACTCTGAAGCCTTCATGAACAATGCAAAGTCATTCTCATCAAAGTGTGTTATGCAGAAAATAAAACGATCAAAAAGTTTCTCATCTTCTCCCATGTTTTTTTTGACCAATCAGGTGATATTGGATTGTTCCACAGGCACACCAAACAACATCTCAAGGCACAGATGAGGGACTGACAGATAGCATTCTTGCCCAAAGTGAACCAGACCAGCCCTATGTCTCTCAGCTGGCCTGGGATCGCGTTGGAATTTCTCTGGATGAGTTAGAGAAAGTGTGCATGGATATGGGGATCTCTGCTTAGACTGCCTCTGCGACCTGGCAACGGATAATTCATGTATTGACCTGTCGCATGGGATTTAAACTCCCTTCTGACAACATGACAGCAGAATTCTGGTTCAAAAGCATCTGTTCCTATTGTACTTATGTTGCTGTAGTCTTAGCCCCGTCCCAAGGCTCTCCAGTTCTCTACATTTCTGAGCATTAGCAAAGGTACAGTCTCTGGTCCTGAGTTGTCCGTCACGTGTCGTAGCGTTAGCCACAGCGAGGTCTAAAGTATATTGTATATTAGTCTGAAGTCTGGAGTCAGCACAACTGTAGGAGGAGATCCAGGGGACAGCTGCTCATTTCCTGAGTGATTGAAAATGCTTAGGTTGCATTACGCTGCATTTGTGAGTTTGAAAAGCACCCACTTGGCATCGCTAACTTTAATTTAGACGTTATTATTAATGAATCAATTCAATGTATTCAAACAGCTACAAATATACTACACATTTGGGAACTCAAAAGTGCTTTCGTGTTAAAACGTTCAGAGTGATTTTCCGCATGTTAATCAATTTCACACAGGCTGACGAATGCTGTTCTGTTATATTTGTTTTTGTATGTTTCTCATTATGACTTATTGTTGCAGGTTTTCGCTGACGATAATGGTGTTTGTGAACTACGGAGGGGGAGGATACTGGTTCTTTCAACATGCCCCTTGGAACGGTCTGTGCTTTCAAATCCTGAATGTTCATCTGCTGCTGCAGGACAATACTGGTTCAATGATCTAACAAACAGAAAGACAGTCAAATCACAAATAACAGTGAAGATAGCATGAAGAAGAGGAGGTGATGTCGCAAAGCTAGTTTAACAATGTTACAACATTGTTCCCTCATCAAAAACAGACATGGAGTTTCTTAGATCCATCCGAGAACATTCTGACACAAACATGTAACTCCCTTCTGTCTAAAAGCTGTATAGAGGGATCCTACGGTCACGTGACTAGCAGCTACGGCAGCCATACTGGAGGACAACCTCGGCGAGTAACAGCCCTGCTAGCTATCTATAACTGGACGTTCAAAACTAGAACTCTCTCGAACTACATGAAAACTGAACAGAGAATTTGAAACTTCAGCAGTTAGTGACCCAAATATATACTCAACCTAAATTCAAAATGTATTATTAATGTTTATCGTTACATCCAGGTTTACCGCGGTCGCATATTGTCGCATTAAAACAGTGTTTTTTCATGAAAACGTGAACAGAAAATTCTAAAAACCTCTGTGCACGTGTATTAAGAATGTATATGTATAATGTATTCTCCGATTAACATTTAATGTGTTTATTGTTACACCATGGATCTATGTGTGACTACACTGCAGTGGAAATAATGAGATTACATTCAAATCAATGGAGCTTTCTGCGTCTACTGTGAGGAGCCGTATATTTTATTAATAAATACTAGTACGGGGCACCCTGGAGCACGGCTCAGTCGTTCACATGTCTGCTGGCCTTCGGTAAGTCAGATACCCTGTGAACCGGGTGAGGTCCTGTGTGAGACCAAATATATAACAGCTATGCTACAAGCTAAGCTACAGTCTATGGAGCAACCCCACGTTGCAGTCAGACAGATATGTTTTATCCTTAAACTTCTGTTTGTTTCGGAATAACACTAAATCCGCCATCAAATTGATTTTACTTAGCAGAAATGAAATGATCCGAGCATATTCGGGCGCTCTGGGGGCTATTAGTTTTTTGTTGTTGTGTATGGTTGTGCCATTTCTCTCTCGTTTCTTTGAGATTTCTTCTGTTTTTGAGCCGTGTGAAGTAAGGACGGCTGGCAGTCGGTAACACAACTTATTTTCCCTGTCTCTCCTTTTGCTGCAGCCAAAAACGGCAAAAATTTTGAACATGTTTATGCGGTCCCGGGTGCACACCACTATCATACAGCGTTTGCTTGTCCTCCAGTATGGATGCCCCGCGAGTTCGAGGCATCGTGACGTCACGTGAGATATCTCTATACATAGCATAAATATACATAGATACCCTTTCAAAAATTAAATACAATAAAAGTTTCTGGCATCGCCTTGAAGGACCAAACATAATACACATAATTTCTTTAGAATAATGCTGGTTAGCTTTTAGCAGGTACATTTTATACATGTCACGGGGTGAGCTGAGTGAGGACTCAAACGCAGGAGTGCCAAAATAAAAGCTTTAAATAAAACAAAGTCCAAGGCAAAAAACAAACTCCAGCAATCTAAAGTAACCAGGACAGAGCATGACAAAACAATGAAGCAGCAACAAGGGGAGAGAAGCAAAGGGTACATATAGACACAGACACAGGTGAAACACATCAGGGCGGGGCAGACAATCAAGACAGGGGAAAACAGGACTGGAAGTCAAACTGAAACAAAACCCATCCATCCATCCATCCATTTTCTTCCGCTTCATCCGTTGCTGGGTCGCGGGGGCAGCAGTCTAAGCAGAGACGCCCAGACTTCCCTATCCACACACACTTCCTCCAGCTCGTCCGGGGGGACCCCAAGGCGTTCCCAGGCCAGCTGAGAGACATAGTCCCTCCAGCGTGTCCTGTGTCTTCCCCGGGGCCTCCTCCCGGTGGGACGTGCCCGGAACACCTCCCCAGGGAGGCGTCCAGGAGGCATCCTGAACAGATGCACGAGCCACCTCAACTGGTTCCTCTCGATGTGGAGAAGCAGCGGCTCTACTCCGAGCTCCTCCCGTGTGACTGAGCTCCTCACCCTATCTCTAAGGGAGCGCCCAGCCACTCTGCGGAGGGAGCTCATTTCAACCGCTTGTATCCGCGATCTCGTTCTTTCGGTCATTACCCAAAGCTCATGACCATAGGTGAGGGAGGGAACGAAGATTGACCGGTAAATCGAGAGCTTTGCCTTTCGGCTCAGCTCCCTCTTTACCACAACGGTCCGATACAGCGACCGCATCACTGCGCACGCTGCACCGATCCGCCTGTCAATCTCACGCTCCATTCTTCCCTCACTCGTGAACAAGACCCCGAGATACTTGAACTCCTCCACTTGAGGAAGGACCTCTCCACCCACCTGAAGAGGGCAAGGCACCTTTTTCCGGTCGAGCACCATGGCCTCAGATTTGGAGGTGCTGATTCTCATCCCAGCCGCTTCACACTCGGCTGCAAACCGTCCCAGTGCATGCTGCAGGTCCTGGTTCGTTGGAGCCAACAGGACAACATCGTCCGCAAACAGCAGAGATGAAATCCTGTGGTCCCCGAACCGGACCCCCCCGACCCCTGGCTGTGCCTAGAAATTCTGTCCATGAATACAGTGAACAGAACCGGTGACAAAGGGCAGCCCTGTCGGAGGCCAACATTCACCGGGAACAGGTCTGACTTACTGCCGGCAATGCGCACGCAGCTCTGGCTCCGGTCATACAGGGACCGGACGGCCCTCAGCAGAGGACCCCGGACCCCGTACTCACGGAGGACCCCCCTCCGTGAAACAAAACCACAGAACTCATTTCAAAATAAAACCAAAATACAACATTAAAATCCGCACCATGACAGAAGTAGTTTTTATCTCGGTCTATTTACATTTACATCTTGTGGAAAACAAACCAAGCCTTGAAGTGTTAGAATTAGCAGTTTTACATACGGCTATATTTGCTTTGAAACCCGAGCTAAATAAGAAGTTTTTAACCCAGCCAAATAATCATCATTATTCAGTTGATGTTCATTAAACTAATATAACAAACTTGGATTCAGTTCTGGCATCACTTTATCATGAAAAACTTTGTGAAACCCTCGTTCGCCCTCAGTGTCTTTTGCTTTAGTAATAGCCTCTTTGTCACTTTCTGCATCGATTCAGACGAACTTTGATTAATCCCGTCTTTCTCGCTGGGGCTCCGCTGTCACTGGCCCAAAGATATTTATGAATCACACCTTCAACAAATGGGACAATAATGATAAAGGCTGTAGCATCATTCTCTTCTGTCAGTGTATTTGTCATCATAAAAAACAAATTCTAACAAATAATCTATGTTTCTGTTTATTATAGGACTGACTGTGGCAGATCTCGTCATGCCGTGGTAAGTGTAAAACAAAAACCTGTCCAGCTGTTGTTGACCAATGATATTTATGAATTACGCCTTCGTCAAATGGGACAATAATGATGGCGGCTTCACTAGACTTTATGAATAGTTAAGTCACGTAGAATTATGAATGGGTTACTAACCACCCCCCGGATGAGCTGGAAGAAGTGTTGTGTGTTTTGGGAAGTCTGGGCGTCTCCGCTTAGACTGCTGCTAACCCTAACCCGGCAACAGATGAAGCGGAAGAAATGGATATGGATGGATATTAAACACCAATTGAATATTTTATAATGTGTAACCAGCATTGGCGTCACTTAACATTATTAATTCATTCCAAATATGGTGGTGGAAAACTACTGTAGCCACACCTGCCCTGGGTCATGCTGATGCGGACAGACTTACAGTATAATGCAAACCAACTTTTCAGAGATTAGCAAAATCCCTCTTCTTCCCCTCGTTAAACACTCTTTGCAGTATTTTTTTGTCACATGTTAAAACTGAAACCAGGGCCTAGACATGAGGGCAAAAAACAATGGCCCGACAATAACAAGACACAAAAATATATCAACAAAAAGTCTGCTCCTTGACTTTTTTTGCCTATTTTTGCCGATTAATTTCCGACGGAGAATGCATGCATAGGCTCCTATTCAAACTTTTTATGCAGTAGATTAAGCTGTGTTAGTGGAGAAAATAATTGCACTGCGTTAAGGGGTTTGTAACGACAAAAGTAGCAATTTGCATAGATTCCAATGCTTACTCTGACCTTGTTTACTTTCTCCAATCTATTCCAGCTTTAACATAAAACAAGCTTAGTGAATGGAACAAGTTGATTCTTCTCTTTTCTATTATGTCATGCAATACTTTTGATTGATTTCTCATCGCGTCCCTTCTACATGAAGAAGAATATACATGTGGTATATTGACGATTAACGTGTTGTGGTGTAGGTTTGTGTTCATCATCGGGACGTCGGTGGTTCTGGCTTTCGACTCGATGCGAAGACGAGGAGTGACGCGAACGCAGCTCCTTCGCAAAGTGACCTGGAGGACGGCGGTGCTGCTGCTGCTCGGCTTCTGCTTCCTCAACTACTCTCCACGCGATGGACCACGTAAGTGAGGAATGTCCAAACCAAGGCCCGCAAGCCAAATGCGGCCCACTGTTTCATTGTATGTGGCCCTCTGCCCTTGCTAACACAAACTATCCATTGAGGCACTTTTGCAGAGTCATCCAGCCAACTTCAGCGAGACCAATATAGTCGTGCTGCACCTTGTTGTAAAGCTCTAAACCTTTGGAATTAACTTTATTTGTATCTACCCTCATTTGTTTCCAATTGTGTCCTAAAATGGCACCGGTGTAGTAGCATACAGTATCATACCCAATTGAAAGTCCAAAGCCTGAAAAGAAATTTTAGATGTTTATGTTGACAGCCCTTGGACAAGTCTGAACTAAAGTGGCCCTCCTACTAAAAAGTCTGGACACCCCTGACGTAAGTGATACAAGACTTACACAGGAGAAAACGTTGCAGCTTTGATAAAACTACTGCTGTATTGATTTTTTCTTCAAAATCATATTATGTTAAGAGGAGAAAGTGTCAAATGTTACTTCTCTTTGATTTGTTTCTTACTGAAGTGAAAAGGAAACATAAACATTCGACATGGTTGTATAGAATAGTTCACACAGAATCTATAAATGCATTTCGCTAAAAGGATTTGTTTAAACTGATTTTGCTTTTTTGTTTGGGCAAAAGTGTGAGAATATAGTGCAATAATCCTCATTTTATTCACCTTGGGACCCCTGACCATTAGCCCCCCCAGCTCTAATGGACTTTGTTGTGGGGCGTCTCTGTAACTGGGTTAAGTAAAATATTGTTATTGCGTGTATGCAGTTTCCAAATCCAGCGCCAGGGGACGTTTAACGGGAGCAGATCGAGCAAAAACAAGACAGTGGTAATGGACAATTACAGACAGATAGAGTTACAGCCACTTGCAGCTGCTGCTCTGTCTGCGGTGACTTTTGCCATAGACCCTGAACAACTCTCTGCCTAAAGGTAGAGAGAGTCATGTGACCAAAAGCTCATCGCTGTTTAATGGGAAGAGAACGATTAGTGTGAAACCTACCTTTTAAAGAAACACCAAGCTCTTTAAAAACAGCCCGATAGTGGAGATAGAGCCATGCGTATCCCAAAATTATCAGCCCAACATCAATATTGTAGCAGTATTGTCCTACAACTTTTTTTTAAATTGTGCACACAACGTGAACACCCTCAGATTGACGGTTTTGTACATGGTCAAAACGACACCTCATGTGACAGGATTTTGGTACATACTAAAATATACAGGTGCAAAAAGGGATGGGTACTGTATCTATATTATCTTTATTAGTACAATTATTTACAATATATAAAAAAATTAAATACAAATCTATATGTCTGTAAAATCTGTATATATCTAAATATACAGAACAATACAATAATCTCATTAACACCATCATGATGGAATATTTTGCTTATTCATGCACTGGATACTGTGTTATATACCATGTTAAATACTGAGCTTGGAACATTTGAAATCTTTTGATATATTATTATTATTATTTAGGTGAGTTAATCCGGAAAGGAAAGGCCCTGCTGCTAAGGTACACTTCATGATTAGTATACTTTACCTCATCTGTGTTTGACCCATCATTCAAATGCCACAATTGTGCAACTGGTTTGAAGCAGTGGAAGCACCAGTGCAAGATTTGGGTGGTAGGGGAAACCGGAGCGCCCGGAGGAAACCCGCGCAGATGTGGGTTAAAAAATGCAAACTCCACACAAAGGTTCCCTCAGAATGAAACCCACAATCTTCCTTCTTTGAGTCGTGAGCTCAAGAGTCCTGTGTTCACTGTGACTTGTGAACTGGATTCTGTTTTTTTCATGGGAATGTAACTGCTCCTCTTGGCAGGTGACTACACTCTATGAGTACTTTTCTAGTTGAAACTGAATTCATTACTTTGTCGGTTGAGTGTGATTCATTTGTCTTCCAATACCAAACTTCTAAGTAGTTCTCTCATTTCAATTCCTCAACACAGTTCATTGCAATTTTGTTATTTATAATCAGTGACTCCATGTTGATAAAGGGGGCGTGTCTGATTTCAATAGTGGGCGTGGCCATCAGAATAAACAAATGTGCCACTACTAAGAGCTTCCTGTTGAGATTTCCGCCTTTCATTTTGATTTGCCTTGATCAATAATTTGGTTTATACAATGTTTTACGGCACTTTGAGCGACAAAAAGGTTTCCAATTAACTAATGTGTAGATTACCATCCGTCTGTCGAGGCGGGGGCAGATAGCAGTGCTCCTCTGATTAGCACATCCGGATGGGACACTATTTTCTGGAGCTGTCGCTGTCCATCATTGGGCTCCAGGAAGTAGGAATTTCTTGGGTTGATTGGAGGATGTTCCTGTGTCCCGTAAGATCCATCTCCAAGTGAATAATTAGGACTAACTCACAGAAATGGCCTTATCGCGCCGTTATATCAGGCTCTTGTCGGAGGTGCCCAGTCCTGTATCCATCATCAGAGCTAAAACTGGACTGTCCTCAGGTTTCCCATTCAACTCAGACTGAGAAGAATCGTTCTGCTGTATTCTGTTCATTTTATATAAAACTAGTTTATACAATGACTTACTTATAATAATAACAATGCAACAGTTTTATAAAGTGCTTTTTGGACACTCAAAAGACGCTCCACATGCTTTTATTCTTTCACTCCATACACAGTTGTGATAAACTATTACTATAGCCACAACTGCCCTGGGGCACACAGACAGAGGCGAGGCAACCAGTCTGTGCCATCCACCTTTCCGACCACCACCAACCATTCACACACACCAGACTTATTCTAGGCAACGTGGGTGAAGTGTCTTGCCTAAGGACACAATAGTTTAGCAAGTTACAGCTGCAGCCGCCCCACTCTGGCACCCGGGTTCTCAGAGGTCTCCCATCACTGTACTAACCAGGCCCTGCCCTGCACAGGTTTAGAAGTCTGACGGGATCTGGATATCACATGCAAGTATGACCACAAGTCCAATTTGCCTCAATACTTGTGGAATAATGTGTGGAATAGTTGTATATGTCCATGTGGATAATAAACCAGTAGAAGGTGATCTGATAGTTTGTTAGTTAATTGTTTCTCTTCTCGTTCATTCTTTCAATGTTTTTGTCCCTTTTATTTTCTGATCTGTTTCAGTATCGTGGTCATGGCTGCGGGTCCCTGGGGTCCTGCAGCGTTTGGGATTCACATACTTTGTCCTGTCTTTGCTGCAGATTTTCTGGGGTCTGTTCTCGGTCCCGCTCAGGACGGTAAGACTCTCTCATGAAGTCACCACACAGACACTGGTTTGTACTTGTCTCTGGTGCAGCATAGTCCGAAGATTGTTTTTAGTGCAATTCATACATATTTGAGTAGTTTCTATTGATTCCGCTGGCTCTCTTGATTCCTCTGACCACCATTAGAGATTGGGACCCCTGGAATTGCATCTCAAAGGGCTTCCCCTCACAAATATAAAGTCATAAATCATCAAACACCATCACTGCGACACAGCCTATTATTTATCTTATTCACCATCCGTCCATTTTCTTCCGCCTTATCTGTTGCCGACGTCAAAGTGGCAGTAGAGTATGTAGCGATGCCCAGACTTGCCTCTCCATTTGCACTTCATCCAGCGGAATCCCAGGCCAGCTCAAAGACAGTCCTTCCGGCGTGTTCTGTGTCTTCCTTGGGGAAACATACCTCCCCAGGGATTAAGTTTACATAGGCAGAGCTACCGTAGACAGTAAATAATGGTTTGTTCTGATGCACAAAATAGTCATGGAAATTAGCCTGATAAGCACAAATATGACCAGTATTTTTCTGAATTTTCAAACTACCTCACAATTGTCTATTTGATGACATATACAGACGTATTAAAGTTGTATTAGTAGAGTAACATTATTATTATGATTATTGATTTTTTTGTCTGTGTCTCGTGGTATTGTCTTTTATATGGACCTTGAGTCTAGAATAAAGATCTACTAATCATTTTGAGAAGACGTCTTTAAACTTTTCTCTGTCATCTCGACTAATATAAAACTGCTATGAACATGAGTGAATGTATTGCAGCCCGTCACACATTTGAAACTGTTGCAGAAGCCGCTCCAGGACTTGACCCTGTACTGGCCTCAGTGGTTGCTCCTGGTCCTGTTGGATTCTCTGTGGTTGTGTCTCACCTTTCTGCTGCCGCTGCCAAACTGTCCCACGTAAGACTTTTTATGTGTGTCATACACTTTTAGACTCTGGATATTAGGGTTGTATCTCGTTTGACGTTTTTAGAGCGAGGGTTAGAGTTGGGGACATGTTTGAGTAATTTATTTTGCACCAAATAATATGGTGTGGATCTTTTATAATTTGATGTTTTGTTTTATATAAAAAATGACATATCTATACTGTTATAAGTATATGTTATATTGGTCTTTGACTTTTCCGATTATCTGTCGACCCCTATACACTAAAATAATGTCATAAATCACCCTAGCATCAGCAAGCAGAAGCATGCTATGTCTTCTTTAACATATAGTGGATATTCCCATTTTATGAATCCACTTGAAGTTGTTTTTAGAGTGATATGTGTGTGTGTAATTTACCTTCCCCATTGTTATTTGCTTTCTAGTGAAATATACACTGTGGAGGAAAAAGCTTCAGTCGTTCATTTACCAAAAACAATTCTCAGCAGCTGTTGGGTTTGATTAGATGATGTTTGCTCTTGTAAATGGGGACTTATGACAGGTTTCGTCTGCTCCCTCCCTCTCCGCCGCTGCTCAGCCTCAGATACAATCACGTCACTCATTGTTTGTCATATTTTCTAATATCCTGTCAGAGGGGAGGGGCGGGCTCTTGCGGCTCTGCGTACATCCAAGGGGAATGCCATTGTTCATAATATCTTTGTTGTTGCTTGTAGATATTTGGCTTAAAACTATGATTCATCTTCAAAGGTGACGTAATCTAAACCAGCTTTATGAGGTTTTTCATCATGTAACCGGAGTGTTTTTTTGCTCCATCCTAAACTTCAGATACTTTAGTTTTTCATTCAAAAGAAAAGCTTTATTTGTTCAGCTGGCGAAATCAACGGTTTTGTAAAGTCCTCCAAGATAACTACTGTTATTGTCCATCTATATCCTGTCTATGGTTTGAACAGGTTTTAAAATAATCTTTTAATCCACTCCATACAGCGAGAGACACATGGATCACAGATAATTACTCTTCACTAGTGAATGTACTCTTCTAAATGCAATATGCATAAAAGCCGTTTCCAAATCATGCTGTCGGAAGCTCCAAAACGACTGTTGCATTGCAGGGTGGATCCAAAAATCATTATGAGCTCTAAATGATAAACCATTTTCCGTCTTACTGAAAGTGCCTCATCTGACCTCGTCCAAGCAAACTAACAAGGTGCTGTGATTGGAAATTTGGTGAAAAGCCAATACAGTTCAAAAATACTCTAAATATGAGAACACTAGAACTCCCTGAACTGTCAAAATGACGGTTTTTAGTTTTTGTGTAATTTTTCCACCCATGTACCTTTGTAACTCTGAATTTGTATGTACAGTATCTATAGGCAGTTTATTTTTGTGATTATCTTTATAAAATAATCTTTTAGTTTTGAAATGCGAGTTGGTCTGGTTACTATAGCAACACAACGTTTATTGTCGTTGTTGTTAGCATTTAGTCTGTTACATTGCGCCTCTCGACAAACTGTTTTAGCTTTTAGTAAAAGTGAGCTAAGGTTAAACAAAACAAAAAACGTACTTTTATTACAAACTTTTTTTGGAAGAATATCTCAGAATTCCATTGGTTTTAATGGGATCAGACAAAATGGTGGCTCTGGGAGTTCTAGTAGTTTCACAATTGTGGGAGTCCTAGTGTTAAATAGATTTAACAAGATTAAAACGCCATATATTACTCATTGAGACTATAATACTTTGGTTATTGAATAGCATTTCAGATTCAATCATTCTGCAAATACAAAATTGCTCCAATGACCTTGCTTATGCGCCATGCAGCTGTTACCTGAAAACAACAGACATTCTCCAAAAAGAATAAATGAATAAGAAAAAGCCGTTTTATTTGATTTTGAGTAATGGCTGCTGCTCGGCCTGTGTTATAAACCGCCCTGGCTGCCTCTCTGATGGTGCTCCTATGCTAAAAGTGTGCATTTATTCATTGTGTGAGGTGAGGTTTGTGTCGCTGTAGCCTTGTTGTTATGAGCTTGTGATTTATGGCGGGACGCTGGAGGCTTCACAGAGTATAATTAGCCAATCTCAGTCTGTCATGTGCAATAAGAGCAGAGCAGGCAGAGGATCCATCTTCCTCGCTCCGTCTCTCTTCCACACGGCTCTGTTCTGCCGGTGTCCATGTGACCCCAAAAGGCACCAGACTGAGATCTCCATGGATTTACATGTACACAGACTGAACAGTGGCAGAGGAGGCCAATTTGATTCCAAACATGGCCACTTATTGTTATGTGACCTCTTTAGCTACAATGGACGGTGAACTAATGGTATCAAGGCAATGAGCTGTGTCAGAACTACTGTATGTTATTTTTTTTAAATACCACAGATATTAAAATACATAATGGCGTATTAAAAGCCCTGGTTTTAATGCGAAAGGCAAATAAAATGAATTTAAATGAATACACATGTTGGCCTTCCCGAGGTTCCTCACTTTTTCCCACTGAGTCGTTCCTTGCCGATGCAGGAGGGTCTGTGGAAAAGTGGGGATGATCCAAGACACTCATCGTTCAATGACATTTATGGACATCTGCTTATTATGGACTTATGGCTCTATGTGATTTTTTTTAATCATTGCATTTCTTGCGTTTGAACTGATTCTCTGATCTGTGTTGGTGAATTCAACTGTACTGTTGTGATTTAGGGCTGTACAAGTAATTGAATTAAACTGAATACAGGTGTTAGCACCAGTAACATTTACTACTAAACGCAGAGAACAAGGTTTCATCTGTCTTCCTTGCTGCTTGCAGAGGTTACTTGGGAGCAGGTGGAATCGGGGACAATGGTCTGTTCCCAAACTGCACTGGCGGAGCTGCAGGCCTCATCGACCACTGGATGTTTGGAGACAATATGTTCAGATACCCCACGTGCAGAGTGAGTGTGTTCAAGTTTATATTCACACAGAGAAAAAGTAAAATAATGTTTCTTGGTCTCTCTTTTTACAGGAAATGTATCAGACCACACAGCCCTTTGATCCTGAAGGCGTCTTGGGCACAATCAACTCCATATTGATGGGGTTTCTGGGGATGCAGGTGAGACTTGATTTTACAGTATAGAAGTATTAAAGTCTGCTTTGAGGTATTGTTCAGTGTGGTGTGAAAATGTCATGTTTACAGTTTCCACGTGAGTTTAATTTAATTACTATTGACCTTTATTTAACCAGGAAAGTCCCACTGTGATTGCAGAATCTCTTTTTCAGGGGAGTCCTAGCCCCAGAGAGAGGGGGCCAGAGTGTGGTCGGAGGGACTATTGTACATGTTTATAGTGGTAGGAGTAACCGGAGCACACGGAGGAAAACACTGCAGACACAGGGAGAGCATGCAAACTCCGCACAGAAAGGCCTGGAGGTGTAATCGAGCCCAGGACCTTCTTGTTGTGAAGCACAAGCACTACTGACCGCCCATTACTGACAGTTTTATCATTTCTGGGCCATTATGTCCATTATTCGACTTCTTCTAGAATAGTCTACCAGTGTTGGAACTAGCTCATTCTCAAAGGATTCCTCTTGAGTTCCTTTTACTGAATATAAGATTTCTGTTTACATTTTCACCCATCTTTTTACCTATAGTATAGTATACTATTTACCTATAGTAAAAATGTATGAGTGAAAGTCCTATTTGACACCTGATTTAGCCTTAATCTAGGCACAGAAAAGCCCAGTTTAAGACCTCGTTTTGATGTCGCTGTGGAAAACTGTAGGACACATATTGAGTAAAATCTACTTTTCAAGAGCGTTGAAGCAGGATTGTATTGCTATTGTGCTATTTCAGCATGGGAATTTCAAAGACATGATAAAAATAAAAATACCAGGATCACACGGAGCATTAACCATGGCTTGTTAAGCCCAAAATAGTTACAGAGCAAGAGGCGTTTGCTTTTCAATGTAAGTTAATAAGGCATAGAGGTTGTCATTGTCCATACCTAAAAACAGTCTCTGATTAAACCCAGAATAATACCTCCATGAGCTGATTTCCCGCTTGTTTGCGGATGCACAGCTGCCTTGCCTCACAGACGGTCTCTCCCAGAGTCCAAGTCCCTCCTCAGGTTTTTAGACTGAGCTCCTGCTGCAGCCGCCTCATAACCATTTGTGTTTGTGCCAAAAGCAGCAGCATTTCTTTATCCCCAACGGACTGTTGGCTCTGATCCTGTCCATCCGCACATCACACCACTACACCAGGTGCCCCACGGCTCCACTGCAAAAACATCATTACAGGGGCATGAGATTGTAACCTTTGGGCGGTTATAATATGTTGGTTATATTTACTTTTATGTTTTATTATTATGTTTGAAATGGCTGAAATTTAAAACGGCAAATAATACATATAATTCAATTCAATTTCTTTTTGTATCGCCCTAAATCACAGCAGTAGTTATCTCGTCATCAAATTCCCCAACACAGATCAGATAATCAAATCAAATAATTAAAAAAACACAGTCGTTGGTCCATAAGGGGCAGATGACCAATGTCCATAAATTGGTTGAATGTTGAGTGTCCAGTTTTTATTTTTACACTTTTTCAATTTAAATGAAACAAATAACTTAAACAGTCATAAGAGACTAATGCAAGTTGATTTATACACTAGTAAACGACTGGCTGTATACATTGGCGATGGAATAACGTGAATTATTAGATATTGTTGCTCTGCTTAACTAACAAATAACCTGAAGTGAAATGATCTGAGTCGGTTCTGCAACATAAATGTGTTAGTATGTATTTTTTGCAGTGTTGCTTTGGCGTTAACGTCTGCAGCCGAAGCCTATTTATCATCACCAAATTAATCAGGGAGCGACGCACAGCCCACATCTGGCTCGGAGGCCTCTGACGCTGCTGTCCCAGGCCTATTGGGTTTCCTCAAGGACAAGTGACAGAAGAACGCCTCTGTAGTGTTTACTCGAGGTGTAATGATGGCAGTTTTAATGACATGTTTCAGAGCTTTTTGGACACATCAATATTATCACAATGTTTACACGATGCTGTAGTTATATGTTTTCGAGACACGTTACCGTAACACCTCTTTCATTTTCTAATCCATTAGCATTGTATTCCTGGGTGCTAACTTTAGAGATACAGTAGCTTAAGGAGCTTGTTGTGGCTCGAGTGTTTGGTTCTGAAGCCTCCTGGACGTCTCCTTGTGGAGGTGTTCCCTGAATATTCCACAGGGAAGGCCCAGAAGAGGCTGAAGGGACTGTCTCTCAAGTGGTCTGGGAAAGCCTTAGGAACCCCCTGGATGAGCTGGACTGCTGCATCCTTCACGCAGAAACAGAGAAAATGGAAGAAAATTGTTGTATTTATTCCGCTTTCATGTCCATGTCAGGCATTTCACATCAGAGAAAACCCCACCCGAACTATCTTAAATAACTTACATTTATTGATTGATTCATTCATTCTATTTTATTCTATTAATTTCCCTGAATCACAACAGCTGTCGTCTCAGAGGACTTTACAAAGTTGTGGATTCACCAACAACAGACCAGAGAATCAAACAGTTCATCTGTTTGTTGTTTTCCAGTTGGTCTGGATCCATTGGTCCATAGGGAGCGGGGTAACCAGTGTCCATTAATATAATGAAAATTGTTGACCCTAAACCAAGTCATGAACGCATTCTGCTGTCTTTCTGGAGGAAATTTAGAATTAAAACTATAATATCGGACATTTTCTGTTGAAATACAAATGTTGTGGCAATCTTTCGGACCGAAACATAGGAAACGGTTAGTACTCCAGAAAATAGCTAGATATTTAAGATGTGCTCACTCACATCCAAAGTGTGCTTAAACTGGACTCATACCAGGCTTTGTGTGTTCATATTCCCCCTGACTAATTGAATGGCTTGCATACATTTTAATCCATTCATTCCTCCACAGGCCGGGAAGATCATAATATTCTACAGAGGCTCCAACGTGGACATCCTGGGCCGGTTTGCAGCGTGGGCGGTGCTCCTGGTACGTATCTCTCTGCACTGGTGTTAATATGGAGGATTGCCACTAAAAACAGAGGTCTATACAATGTGTTTATCAGACACCTTTGCCCTTATAAACAGTGCAGAGTATGAACTACAGTATAAATATAAAGACGTAAAGAACACGTATATATGTTTACTGTTTAACCTTGAGCTGTAAATGATGCTCTTTTTCTCATGTACTGAAAGCTTTGTAATAGTACGTCAGTCCACTCGATTATATTAGATCTATGAAATGGATTTTTATTATAGGCTTTCTCTTGACACCGCATATATTTATTCATAATAATGGTAAAAAATCCACCTATTGCTAACTTCATCTGATGTGACCACATTTCCACAGCTCAGAGTGATGCTGTTGGACTGAGTTACTTTTATCACAATGTTTTGGCTCAAAATGTAGACTTCAGTTGGATTAAACATATTAAAATTAGCCCAGGGTGAATCGTTTTTTATGGCGCTTTTTTGGACACTGAAAGATGCTCTGGGGTACACTGACGTAACATTATTATGAAAAGTGAGATAACCAAAACATGTTGTGGAAAAATGATGAGTTTAACTTTAACCACAGTTGCTTCAAAGTGTCATGAAATCTCCAAAGTGTGTTACTTCCTTCTCCAAAATTCTTTATAATCTTTGAATCTTAAACACATCCAACTCACTACCTGCCCACAGATTTGTACAATGAACAAAATGTAATCTATCGTGGTCTATAGAAAAGAGGGAGACTTTATCCCTAAATCTATGTATACAGCAAAAATCTATTAGTCACCTGCATTTAATCACACTTAAGATCAATTAGTGATTTAGAACTTTGGCACAAATCACTTATTTGCCTCCTACAGGTGTGAGTCACTGTTTTCTTTGATTTCCTCTCTGGTGGACCACGCATGAGTCACAGCTGTCATTAGACCTGCGTGTGTGGAAAGAAGCAGTGGGACATTTTTATAGTCGTTGTTTAGTTAAAGCAAATCTCAAAATTATCTAATTTACGAGATAGATGACAGTTCATGGTCTTTCTGAGTGGATTTTTTCAGGTTTCCTCTGGGCGCTCCGGTTCCCCTACCACTGAAGACGTGTACAATAGCTCCCCTCTCTCTGGGGCCTGGACTCTTGAAATAGAGATTCTCAAATCTCTGTGACACTTTCCTGGTTAAATAAAGCTCTTAAGGAGAAATGTTATAGGCTTTATTTTGGGCTATTATAATCCCAATGAGACTATTCACTTTCTATGTGTAATAGTATCTTAAGTAGGGCTGGGCAATAAATCGAATTTAGGCAATTAATCAGCTTTTGAAAAAATCAAATTTGTGAAAAATTTGTGAAATCGAATGAAGGATATTGTGAGTTCCAGCAGCACATGAATTATACTTGCAATATCAGCACAGTCTGTACAAGACTTTTATAATATGTATTGGGGAAAGCAAATGAAAAATTGTTTTGAAACTTGAATATTGAACGGGAAGATCCAAAACTATTTTTAAGGGCAAATTCTGTCATCGGGGACTTTAATGAAAATCGAAACTGCCCAAAGCAGAAAAAAAGATAGAGATTTTACTTTTTTGCCATATCGCCCAGCCCTAATCTTAAGTAGACATTATATGGCGGCTGTGACTGCCAGTTTCTTTTGTGCAATATGATGATTACAAAATGATCAGCCAGGAGTGCCTTGTGTCTTCTTTAACATGGGACTCCTGCACAGTGTTTTGTCGTGGTTTCATGCATAAATACTGGGGAGTTTTAGCGTGGACTTCTGATCTTGAAAGTACAGTTTTGTCACGTCCGTCATAATGAGTCGACCAAGGATGTCTTTGATTCCAGATCATTGGTTCAGAGTTGATGTAATTGAGCAGTTTTAATGTCACGGTGTTGTTCAAACCAGGCCCATGTGTCCCGCAGGTTGTTGCACTGCTGTTTCTGGACAGACCTTTCCTCCCAGCGAAGTGTTGTCTGCTCTCTGTCTGTGTCTGAAGGAGACACATGTGTTTCATGTAACGGTCTAAACAAGAGCATAATGAGGAACATTCTTACACCTGAGGAGCACCGGGAAAACAGGGGAAGATTCTGACTAGTATTAGTAGTTTTTGAACGTGTTTCTAAACTTTGCAACTATGTGTTCTCATTGACAGTGTTTGGAAGTAACTAAAAGCCAAAAATACACATCAGAATCTGCAATGTAAGCTTAAAGGACACACAGCTTTGACTCCGCACATCCGAACAGAACTTGTCATGTCTGTACTTGTGTCTATGTGGGTTTCTTTCATTTTGGATTCATGTCAATGTTCCTGTTCCTGTAAAAAGACTTGCTGATTTTGGAGAAAAGATATTGTCGTGGATTGAAAACAAAGTGAGCATAATTAATTGGTTGAAATATATTATAATTCACAATATTTTACTAAACAAAATATCCTATACATTCTGTAAACTAAACTTCACTTATCCTTTCTCCGTCTAATTTAGAGCTGTCGTTTTATGTTTTAATCCGGGTCGTCAGGGTGGTCTCAAAAATACAGAGTAAATCCGAGCTGGCTTCTGTTTTTCGAGGAGGGAGCCGTCCCAGTGGGAGAGAGGTGTTACGTGACATGGGACAGACTTTGTTCTGGAATCAGTGACGGGAGGACGACAGCTCAATCCATAGAATCGAGATCTGTGCAGAGAGGATGCCTTCAACTAGATCGAGTAATAATCTTTGGTTTAGCGATAAGGTATTGCATGTATTTGAGTGTAAAGTCATATAAGTGTGTTGTGTGTGCTAGTTGTTAGTGGAGAGAGACTTCCTGGAGGAGCTGAGCAGAGGTGGTGATGGAGCAGAAGGAGCTGGAGCCTTTGAACTAAAACTGTGAGAAGAGGAATGAGAGGAAATGGGGAAGGAATAACAGCCAGTGACCGCAAATTACTGATATTTCCTTGTTTGAAGCGGTTTTGAGACTACACATCTTAATTTGATATGAATGGTTTTATAGAAAGGTAGTATTTTGACACACAGTCTATTGGGACTTTGTAGACAATGTGTGATGCTTACTGTATGAGTGAAACCTTTACTTGCCATTCTTCCTCACACACTGAGCAACACAGGCTGGCGTGTCAAAATGACTCAGTATTTAACCCGCTTTCCAACCTACTCTTTTTGCAGAGACGTGTTCAGTGTAAATTAGACAGCAAAAACACCAAACGGTTTAATATCTTGTTGTTTACATGTAGGTCAGGTTATAAAACTGCACACATGGATAACTATTGTAGCTGCTCTTTCTTTTAAAAATTAGTAAAATATCACAGTTTATTATAATCCTCTAGTCCTGATCAGTTTGCCGTGGTGTTTGGTGTGTCTTTGGAAATGATCCGATATCACCGAATTGGTCAACATAATAAAAAGAATATAATTTGAGAAGATTGGAAAGACTTTTTTGTGCTTGTTGGAATTTCTATATATGTCAATGAGAATGACTTTGCATTGCTAATAAAGGCTGCAGAGTTGTTGTTGTTGTAGCAGTTTTATCTGATAGTGTGCCCTGTGATTGTTTTCGATAAAAAGGTTGTGCCACATCAAAAAGGTTGAGGAACACTGCTTTGGAAGAATTTGAAGGTCAGAAGTTTGTTTTGACCCTTTTATTTGGACATCTCGTTGGCTGTTTGTATGCTTGTCTTGTCAAACTTCTCAAAGGGCTTTTACAGCATCACTCTTTTGTTCATTCAGTTACTCTTAAGTTTGCAGCCTCTCAACCTTCAGATGCTTTTCTTTCAGTAAAAATTCATTGGAGCACAGAATAAAATGCACCTCCCAGTCTATAAGAGCGAGCTGAGGTGGCTTCGGCATCTGTTTCAAATACCTCTGGGGAGAGACTCAGAGCTGGGTCTGAGCTGGCCTGGGAGCGCCTAGATCCCCCACTAGATGAGTTGTTAGAGGAAGTCTGGTCGTTTCTGGGTGGATGGAAGTGAATCAGTTGATTAAAGTTAAATAGAAAAGAACTCTCTTAATGTCCCAATTTTCAACATGGAGAAGACATGTTGCAGACTGGCGCTGTTAGTCACACACTACTAATCACCTTCCGTTTCCAGAGCTCTGTAGAAGCAGATGTGTTGGCAGCCCCTCTGTCCTCTTCAGGTGTGTGTTGGTCCAAAGATGAGGACTAAAAAACTATCTGTGTTTAGTAGTTGTGGGAAATGGCAAAAAAAAGTGCCGATTTGTTAATATTACAATATTTGGGCTACAATTAAATATTATTGCGATTATAAAACATATTGCGATACAGCAGGTGTTACGATTCGATTCTGCGATAATTTGCAATTTATGTCCCTCTTATTGTTCAAAGACATTACAAAAAATGTAGAATACAAGACAAACTCAAATGTCATTTATTATGGTCTGCACCTGAACTGAAATGCAAAAACTATATCCTTGAACATTCAGGACACAGGACCAGACATAATTATTTTCTGAATGATCAACCTCTCTCCGCACATTACTTAAATTATTTAAATACAAAAGAGGAAAGCCTCAAAAAGCAGACATAGTAGACATAGATAAACCTCAGACGTAAATTACCAGACAAAATATGAGAAAACACAAAAGTGAAACAGATCATTTTTTAATTAAACATAATAATACTTTTCTCTGCTGTATCGATTTAATTGTGTGCGGAAAATATCGCGATACTGAACAGAATCGATTTTTATAATTATTTTTTTATCCCATATAATTTTTTTTGTTTACTGTCTCTAGCTACATTTCCTCAAATCATTCCCAAAACATCTGATACTCATTAACCCTCCTTTATGACTCAAGAGGGCGCTGTGTTTCATAATTCATCAGTGTTCGATGCAAAACAACACGTTGCTATGGAGACCCGTTCTAATTATAGAAATATGTCCAATGATTTTTCAGATCAATCATCTGAGTTAATGCTATTGATCACTTTACATAGTATCCGTGTAATGACCAGGATCACCAACATGGGCCTTGTTAAAACTCTGTCAATAATATCTTACTTTACATATGGTTTTATTACGGTATTGCCTCAGTCAGAAAGAGTGACTAAGTAAAGAGACTAATGAAACTTTAATATGTTCCTAATTGTTGTAAAAATGGACTTTGTTGATAATTGCTGTTTGTAGTGACGTAGCTCTCTCTGTTTTGTGTCTGTTGTTGGCACCTCTGAAGGGAAGAGAAATAAATGAGACCCGTTAGTTTCATCCAGCGGTGACCAGAGATAAAGTGAGACTGGATCTGATAAATATGTTCCAGATTAACCAAATTAGTGGTTAAAATGTACAAACGTTTTGATCTGTTATATGGCACTCTGCAGTAATATTGTGTTGTTATTGTTATAGCGTAAAATCAATTGCATTTTGATTTTACCCTGAAAGTCCGTCATTTGAGTCAAAAAGTGCTTGAAAAGTAAGTACGTTTTAACTATTTTGACAATTGCAAACGTCTTAATGTTATGTCTTGTTAATTAAACAAATTCCTTAAAGTTGTCATTCTTAACCTGAAACACTCTACTTGGTCTTAAATTGTGTCCATGCATCCTTCAGGACACTTTTATAAATCCAATGGTAGCTTAATAAGCAATACCAAAAACCTCTAGTTTCTTCCACACTCTAACTCCCCTTTCGTCACAAACACACAATCACAAATGTATAGATTTTTTGTGTTATTGTGTTGGAAACTGACCCATTCTCCAGTATTAGCTGCAGGCCTCAGAGCGTGGGGCCAAGCTGTCGTCTCCCCCGGTATATTATTATTTGGATGAAGTGATAGTCCTCTCTGGGTGTTTCTGACAAGCCGACAGAGCGTATTAACATTCCCATCATGGGTCTGGTTCTTATATTGACCTTTTTAAAGAACATTTTAGGGGGAAGTTGATCCCGGCTGAGTCCTGTTTCACCCATATGCTCTTAACATTAGTTCCTTCTTTATGTAAGTCGAGCTGTTTTCTGCTGCCGACCACAGAACTGCCATTACATCTGCAAGACCGTTACAAAGTGCTGAATCGGTACAAGAAAACCAAAAATCGTCTTTGAAATCTTTGAAACGGATTTTGTCTATGTGTGCTTGATTTTAATTGTATTTCAAAACGTTTATTTGTAACAAGGTAAAACTTAAGAAGGTGTAGGCAGACGCATGAGCTTATCAGGGCCAACCACATTATTGTACATCCAAAATAATATTGGTTAAAATAATGTGGTTATTTGGTGTTTTCAATTACTCAGAATGAATTATAATGAACCGTTTGTATATTTACCCATTCCCAAACCTTTATGATCAGTATAAGTGAGGACAGAGCTGTATTAAAAAGATACAAAAAAACCAAAGAAAAAAAATATTAATGCTTAATGTACAATACAAGCACATCCAAATCTCCAAGAGCCTCCAGAATCATGAAACAAGTTTGCATCGATATATTTAATGTCACCACAAGAAAGTGTAATGTTTTGAGCATTGTAGCCTGGCCATATCCATGCGTACACTCCGCTCAATCATCATTTCACTGCATGTAACGTCTGGGTCTGGTCCCTGTGTTAGCGATTACAATCGGTAGAATTTCGACCGACCAATCAGCGCTGAAGGCAGGTGTTGTGGTTATTCAATTCATTCTTTATTAAGAACACAGATAGAACTGGTTCATAGATTAAAAATAATAATAATAATAATAATTAATGTAGTTAGTTGTGGGTGATGTCAAGATTGCGTCGAACGGGAAGGTTGTGGTTTGGCAATGGCGAAAAATGTGATAGTAAAGTATTCCGGTCTGGTTCTATCAAGAAATTGAAGCCGGAGCAAGAGGAATGTTTAGCAAATGTAATCGCTGGCAACAATTGTGGCGCTACTCCCCACGGGCTTCGTTAGTGGCGAAGGAGATGGCTAGGCTAAATGCTAAATGCTAACGACTCACTCGGGCGCACTACATACGGCACGGTAAACTCAGATCCACTCGTTTCAATCTGCAAAAGGAGTTAACCCCTCCGATCTGTAAACGGAGCTCAATGGAGCACCTCGAGACCTTAGTATGAAATGTAATTTGTACTATGGTGTGGTACAACCAGGCTAGAGCCTTGCCCTTCATTGAACAATTGAACAAAAATGCTAAGACACCAGTTTTAACCAGTTGTCTTTGCTAAATGCAGTAGAAAAATAGTAAAATGAATCACATATTTTAACAGTGAGTTATAGATTACTCTTCCTCCCTTTGTAGATGGTGCTTACCAGTCTGTTTGGTCAGTTTTGTCTTTTAAATAAATAAAAATAAAATATATATCACTATTTGTAGCTCTCATTAAGATTACATGATATACAGCAAAGGTAAACAAAAAGCTAAAAAATCATATTACTTGTACATGTGTTTAGAAAAGCTACAATCTGAATAAATAAAACCGTCAAAACTACTCAAAACAAAACATTCTTGTATTTCAACACATTCTGCTACATTAATCCTAAGTCTTCATCGTGTTGTTCTCTTCATCCACAACTGTCCTCTCTCCGTCCAAACCACAGTCCATGTTAATTAAAGTCCAACGATCAGGCGGCGGAGTGAGAGATTGAAATTGAGCGGTTGTCCCAGATACCCCCTGGTCCCGGGGCGTCCTGCTGCGCAATCGCCTGGAGACCTACCCCAGCCGATCATTTCCACTGCATCGATTCTGTCATCTATAGCATGACGGATATGCCCCTAACGAGCCTCTTTGGACCCTGCCCTCAAACGGGACTCTGAAGGAGGACATGTTTCCTTCAGCCTCTACCTCATACTGAAGGATGTAAAAACACGATGCTTCTGGGAATATTTCAAATGAGGCGGACGTAATGAGGTTTTGTTGGAGAAATGTTGTTGTAATGGTTTTGCTTTTTCTTTGTTAAACTCGATAGATTTATTTAGTAATTTATCATTTACCTCTTTTACTTGAAGATAACTTGTGTTGTTGGTTAGGTCTTACTGTAGTGGGGATACATTTCTTTGAGTTTTTTGGTGAGTTTTGAGTGTTTTAGTTATTTTGTTTGTTTCTGATGAATTAATCCAAAACTAGGGTTGTCAAAGTAAAATATTTGCATAAACAACACAAACTGGGAACTTGCATTAAACCTTGTGGCCCCATATACAAACATTATCATTTTGATTTCAAAATGAGTTTAAGAGTCTAAAATGTAGTGTCGGGACAACACTAGTTCAAACCTAAAGTGAATGGTCACTACATAAAGCCCAGTGCTGATGCAGCTTCTGCAGCTTACATAGTGAAAACTGACCTTTTACATGAGATCATTTACTGAGGATCAATAGAAATGCCTATTGATGACAAGGACAAAATAAAGACGACCCATTACAGGTTCTGTGTGATTATATTTTCTACTGGACAATCAGGCTACTGTACCTTTTAAATGCAGCCTGCCTTCTGTCAAGTTCAACTTATTATTAATGTATAAGCACTTATCACTATATGTAATGTAATGTTTACTTAGACGATGCCTAATGCTTTCCCCCTATGCTTTAACTACTCTTTTCTTTTGTGAGGTTGACGCACCATTGTTTGCGATGACGTGGATGAGACAGTGATCAGTTTTTGAAACTATTTCCCAATTTACAGAGATGTTTGTAATGGGAATCCACTAGCCATGGTTCACCTGTTCCCACACACTCCCATCAGCTGTGGCAGCCAATTTACCTCAAAGTATGTGGACTTCATGATTTAATCTGGTTTTAAATCCTGATGTTGGCTTGGCTTGGATTGGGTGTAAGTGTGAGCACAGTCCTAAAACAAGAGATTCTATTGTAGTAAAACACAAATAAATGTTGTGTGCCCACTCTTTCTTGCAGCCGGACTGCCAGAGCTAGAGTGATGGACCCTGTCATGTAATCACTGAATCCTCTGGACTCTAGTCTTTCTTTGGGCCCATGTTTTTGTCTCCTGATACGAGCTGCTTTATCGCTTCTATCGATTTCAAATCTGTTTCATTTCCACCCTCAGGGAATCTCCGCAGCCATCCTTACTAAGTGCACGAGAGACGCTGGATTTATACCTGTCAATAAAAACCTTTGGTAAGTGCTTCCTGACCCTCTAAATCCAGCCACTTTTCGCTCACAAAAGAAAGCATGGGTTTCCAGCAGGCACAAATCAGAGCTGCTAAAACACACGTTTATTTACCTCCAACGATTGCCGCGCTCGTAAATAATCACCCCCGAAGCGTGGGGAGTGATCATCCTCCTCGTGATCCGTCTACATCACAGCCAGAAAAGATCCGGTCCAAGTCTGACTGGTGTGAGCTGGACTTAGAGAGAGCGAGTCATGAGGGAGACTTCACCACTGATGTTTCCTTGTAAAACTGTTACATGCTGCAGCAGTTTGATTGATTTTGTATTAATTTGAGCAGAAGTTATACATTCATACAGGTTTTTACAATATTTACATTCATTTAGTTCATGGAGATACTTGTTTTATATTGCCTACTTTGCTCACAGTATATATAAACATGCCAATATACAAACATAAATATACAATCACGCAGCAGTATTTTCCATACTTTCACCATGTGTTTGTATATTTACAATTTCAATATGAATTTACAAATGTGTTTCTATTCGTCAGCTCGAAAAAGACTTGTAAAAACCTGTCGGTCAAATGAAGCTATGACCTGGCTATCTATTTATCAACGATGAAGTTAAAGCAGAAGCAACTCGAAAAGCCCTCGTAGAGCACAGACCCCCGACAAGAGGTGCAGTTCCATTCCCAAAAAAAACAGATCGTGCATTCAGACGGTGATTTTGAGCTCGTCTAAAATGTATTTACTTGTTCACTTGTGCACGTTGCCTAAAATTGTTGTTCAAATCCATAACCTTTTGTGTGCCTGTTGCTCACATAGACAAACACGCAATCTCCGTTGAATACTTTACCTCCTGGTGGGAAGTCATACTAGAGTTAGAAAAGTGTTAGGAACAATGTCAGTCATAGTGGAGAGTTTGGCGGTATAGGATCTGTCAGTGTAAAAAAGATTTCCCACTAAACCTGCCCCTGGACTACAGATCATGTAAATGAGCATTATTGCGGCAGATCTGGCACATTTACAATTTGTGTTCAACTTTTTCATTATTGTGTGTTGTCCTGATCAAATAAATACATAAATATACAACATTTGACAAACTTAGAAATAAGATAAGTTGCTGTGTTTCATAGCCAGCTGTAAATCCTTCAATACGCACCATTAGTTAGGCAGAGATGCGCTTGTGACTTTTTTGTTCACCTAAAAACTTTTGCATATAAACATTATTCTCGGTGCTGAAAGTGCAGAAAACAAGCCATACATTTTATAATAACTACGGCTACGTTGCAAAATCTGCTGCTGCTTTGGGACGATTCATGAGTTTCAGCTTCCTGCTACTTTTAGATGACCATTCTGAAGAATATTTATAATGAATTGCTTTGGTTTTATTATTCTGAAACTCATATCTGACAGCCCTTTAGTCAGGCATCTCAAACTAAAATGATGTTCAATGATTTCAAAGATTAGCTTGTACATTGAGGGTAATGGGCTACTATGGCATATTATACTGTACATCAATTTAAAGGTCATTTCCACAAGAAAACCACCATATCATTTTTTGTATTCTACAATTTGAACCCAACACAAAACTAAAGTTATATAGAGAAAATAAATCAGTCTTTAATTACATTTCTTTTTAATATATGGTCATGTTTTGGACTGTACTGAACTGATTTTGTCCACACAAATCTACCAGAAACAAAAATCTAATCAAGTAGTTTCTAAAAAATAAATACCTTCAAAGATGTAAACGATAATTAAAACAATAGAAATCCACTTTTATACTTTTGGGCCCCCAACCAGCTCCTATTTTCTATATTTGGCCCCTGACCAAAATGAGTTTGGCACCCCTGCCTTAAAGGTATATAGGACGATTTTCCCAAATGTTAGGAAAGAACCGCCCTCTCCACTTTTGGTCTGGTCTTCTTTGACGAGCACGTATCACCAGAATAATTGACAATTAGGAGGAGCAACAGTCTTGACGATCCACCCGGAATTAGAAAATCCTCCTATATACCTTTAACATAAGTTCATGCATAAAATGTAACAAAAGCTTTCGGTTTCGGGCTTTCTTTAATTTTTTTCTTGTGATAATTTCATGGTCCTGAAGACACTTCTTACTTTGTTTCTATGGCGACAGAATCCTTGTGTCCGGCCATTTCAAAACCATTCATAAGAGTTAGATCCAGATCCTGAGTAAAAACAGCCCAATTAATGGAAACCTCACATTTGGCAAAAGCAACCTCCACTCAAACGAAACATTTTAGACCATATACTCTCATAACTGTCTGGTTTTTAAAATACCTCCATATGGTTCCAGTCGTCTTCCATGAAATACATCATAGTTACTCCTTTAAACGACTTTACAACCTGCTGGCTGGTCCTGGAGCCTCTTAATATGAAGTGAATCATTTTAATGTTTCTACTGGAAGACGACCATTGCATGTGTGGTGTAAGCAAATCTCCCATGATGCTCCGCTGGGGCTGTCCCGTGCCATTACACTGTACCTGCCCAGCTTTTATAGGCTCTTCATCATGCATAGTTTATCGAGCTCCTGCCTTCACTCGTCCCGCTGTAATTAACTCCGAGTCCAGAGTCCGGCTCAGTCCTCCTCAGACAGATACAAAACCAAGCCTCCGTCTGTGAGTGCTTTAGATCGTATCAGACACTTACTGCGGACAGGAACTGGCTGCATCTCATACAACATTATCCCCTCTGTATGCGGCTGTCATTCTACAATACACCCCACTTTATCTGTATAGCACATTTTTATAAACAGTGACACATAGCGCGGCATGGTGGTGCAGTGGTCCCAGCAAGAAGGTCCCAGCAAGAAGGTCCTGGGTTTGATTCCACCTCCAAGACCTTTCTGTGTGGAGTTTGCATGTTCTCCTGTGTACAAAAACGTGTACAACAGGTCTTCCATGCGCCTTCTGTATGGCGACCTCACTCCCATCTCTGTGTGGCGAGGACAAATGCTCACAATTGTAAAAGCGCTTTGTGAAATGGTCTGTGAAATGCGCGATATAAATAAATATTACATACTTACGTCAATAAAGCAAAAAAAAAATATTCTTGGCTACATTTACAACAGTACATCATAAATTGGTTAAAGCATTTGAATGTATTTTCGTATATAGCCCTAAATTGCAACTCGGAGGACTTTACAGTTGCCGATTTGCCAACCCAGATTAGAGAATCAAACAGTTCAACACCGGAAATGCAATGATAAAAAACACGTAAAGCCATTGGTCCATAAATGGCAGACGACCAATGTCCAAAAATATTGTTGAATGTCGAAATTCTACAATTGACTTCCTCAGCTTTCTATCATGTTGTAGTTTTCATTTACACACTCAAAGTTGCTTTAAAGCTCTGGTACCTAACTTTATCCTTTCAAAGATAAAAATAATGATTGTAAAAAGACCTGTTATCGCTGCATATTCGCATAATATCAAATCTATTTCCTCTGGCTCTAAACGATCAGAAATACACCGGTCGACCTTCACTTATAAGAAATCTTGGAATCTTGTGCATTTCCTGTAGACCGTAGTGATGTTACAGTAAGTGCAGGGGATAATATCACACAAACACAGCCACAGTTCCAGCACGACGCTCCGGCTCCAGTCCTTTGTGCCAAAAAAACTGACCCGGATATCCAGGCTCCAGTGCGGATCTATCTGCACTACAGGAGATATGGGCTCTTGTAGTGCAGATACAGACTGTCTTACTTGCTGCTAAAAAGGCTTAAAACTGTTCTTCCCAATACATTTTAAGACAATTATAGACTTTATCAACATTTATGGTCGTCTGCCTTTTATGTTGTTTTTTATCATAATTTTTTTCTTGTTGGCAAATTTGACGCTTTTGTAAAGTCCTCAGAGATAGCTGCGGTTTTGATTTAAGGCTATTAACAAATATATTGAATGGAATTGGACATAATGTGGGTTCGGAAATAATAATATATTCACTAATGTGTTGTTCAAATGTTAAGCTGTCTCCCTTGAGTCTTGTTCTATTTTACTCTACTTTTTTTTTTTTACCACCTAAAAAATTGCTATTAAATTCCTGGAAATATTAAAATTAAAGTTTATCTATCTAATTTCAATTCAAATAAAATAGTCTGTAATCGGGACCAGTTTGCTCTCCAAACTCACAGATAAATATATTGTCATAAAATGTATAATTAGGATTTTACATAAATTCCACCTGGATCTTTTTGCTTTTTTACAGGTCTCTAAATCTCATATTCAGTTACATTTACCCCAAGTGGTCATTTCATGATACCGTCAACACGCAGACACCACCTGTGTATTCTTTTAAAGTTAAATACAAATAAATCCGTCTTTGGAGATTGTTCCCAGTTGTAATTCAAGTCAATGAGTCGTCAGAGGCCAAAACTACAGGACATCAGCATCACAAAGAGGAGAATATTTTCCTTTTTTCAGTCATTACAGAGAAAATGGGTGAAGTTTTAAAGTAAAAATGGCAAAAGTCTTAAAGTATTTTTTCACTTAAAGCAGGAATTGTCATAAATCTGTGGTTTGTACAATTGTTACTAACATCTGGACCATTGTTGTTCAACATGTGATGAGATAAACAAACTGACAGTCAATAATTTCCATCGCCCGCGGCAACAGAGACCGACCACAACAATGGATCTGAACCTAGTTTGACCAAAGCAAGTTGCCAGATAAAAACAAGTGAATTTATGGAAGCAAAACTGCAGTGAATTTAAATACACATGTCGTTGCTGCTAGAGTAGTATCAAGAATGGAAAACTATATTCAATGTATTTAAAGCAGGACATGTATTTTGGGAGCTCAACATATGTTTTTTCAGGTCGTGAATCAAACCTGTTGGATTTCATTTTTGTCTAACATATTTATGGTTCTTATATTGAGGAAGATGTGGAAGATGCATGTGTCAAATGAGGATCTAGTTTGACGTTGTGAATATTAGTCTCAATCATGTACAATAATTAAAAACATGATTTAGCA